CCTACGCGCCAGAAGAGGGCACCAGATCTCATTACATGTGGTTGCTGGGAATTGAACTCAGAACCTCTGGAAGAGCAGCCAGTGCTCTTAACTGCTGAGCCATCTCTCCAGCCCCAGTGGGGATCTTAATTGCTTTTCTTTTTTTCTTTTCTTTTTTTCTTTTTTCTTTTTTTGGTTTTTTGAGACAGGGTTTCTCTGTATTGTTTTGGAGGCTGTCCTGGGACTCACTCTGTAGACCAGGCTGGCCTAGAACTCACAGAGATCCACCTGTTTAATTGGTTTTCTATTGCTGTGAAGAGACACCATGATCGAGGTGACTCAAAATGTTTACTGGGGCTCATGGTTCCAGAGGGTTAGAACCCATGACCATCATAGTCAGAATCATGCAGTAGGCAGGTATGCATGTTGCTGGGGTAGTCCAGTGACACACCTCCTCTAACAAGACCACACCTCCTATTCCCAAACAGTTCCACCACCTGGGACCAAGAATCAAACATATGAGCCTATGGGAGGCTGCTGTGGAAGATTCATTCACACTATGTGAATACATGTCACTATTATTGGTTTAATAAAGAAACTGGCTGACCAGTAGCTGAGCAGAATAAGGTTAGGCATTTCTCCTAGGAGGAAGAAGGGTGGGGTCTGGAGGCGCCAGCCATGCTCAGAGGGAGCAGGAGATGAACGTACCGCCAGGTGGCAGAGCATAAGTAAGGAACATGGGTTAACTGAAAATGTAAGATCTAGATAGTAATAAGCCTGAGCTATTGGCCAAACATTTGCAATTAATATAAGCCTCAGTGTGTTTATTTGAGAGTGGCTGTGGGACAGGAAAACTTCATCTACAGGGAGTCATTCTCATTTAAACCAGTACAGGACGGGCTGGAGAGATGGCTCAGCGGTTAAGAGCACTGACTGTTCTTCCAGAGGTCCTGAGTTCAATTCCCAGCAACCACATGGTGGCTCACAACCACCTTGAATGAGATCTGGTGCCCTCTACTGGCATGCTGAAGATTGTATACATAATAAATAAATAAAATATTTAAAAAAAAAAAACCAGTACAGGAGAACAGGGTTTCGTTTAGCCCAGGCTGGCTTTGAACTCCTGATTCCTCCTACTTCCACCCCTTGAATGAGTGATGGGATTATAGATGCATGTCACCACACTTGGTTTATACAGTTCCAGAGATCAGACCCAGAGCCTCGTGATGCTAGGCAAGCACTCCACCAACTGAGCAAAATCACCAGTGTGTGAGTGTGTGTGTGTGTGTCTGTGTGTGTGTGTCTGTGTGTGTGTGTTTGTGTGTGTGTGTGTGTGTGTTGGTGTTGACATTCAGGGCTCCATGCATACTAGGCAAGCGCATTACCACTGAGCTATGCCCTAACCCTCAAAAACATGGTACAGAGGGCCGGAGAGACGCTTGAGCGAATGAGATCACTTACTGCTCTTGCAGAGAGAGGACCTAGGCTTGGTTCTCAGCACCCACAGGGCAGCTCACAGCCACCTGCAACTGTAGTTCCAGGGATCGATGCCTCTTCTGACCTCAGCAGGCTCCTGCATCCACATGTGCACATGTATTCACTCAGGTACACATGCACACATTCATGCACATACACATACAGTTAAATAAATAAACACTTCCAAAAAATAAAAAATGAAGACCCAGGCTAAAGGACCAGGGAGATGACTTTGTGGTTAAACGCACTTGCCACACAAGCCTGACAACTCGAGTTTGGTCCCCAAGACCCATATAAAAAACCAGATGTGGTAGTGTGCATCTGTGGTGGAACCATCTTTTTGCACACTTGAAGATGCGCTGCTCTCGTTGATTTAATCAATAGGTAGACAGGAAGAGGTTATCCGGGACTTGCAGACAGGGAGAGAGTGCGGGGAGATGAAGGAGGACCAAGTCACTAGCCAGACAAGGAGGAAACAGGACATGCACAAGACGAGGTAACAAGCCATGAGCCATGTGTCAGCAAGCAATTTAATAGAAATGGGTTAATTTAAGTTATAAGAGCTAGTTAGAAGCCGGGCGTTGGTGGCGCACGCTTTAATCCCAGCACTCGGGAGGCAGAGGCAGGCGGATCTCTGTGAGTTCGAGACCAGCCTGGACTACCAAGTGAGTTCCAGGACAGCCTCCAAAGCCACAGAGAAACCCTGTCTCGAAAAACCAAAAAAAAAAAAAAAAAAAAAAAAAAAAAAAGAGCTAGTTAGAAACAAGCCTAAGCTATTGCTGAGCATTTATAGTTAATAATAAGTCTCTGGGAGGTGGTTGGTGGGACAGAGAAGTCCACCTATATGCATCTTTAATCCGAGCTTCCCTACTGGGAGATGGAGAACGGAAAATCACCCAGGTTCTAGCCTGCTGTACTCAGAAAAAACAAGAGAGACCCTGCCTCTAAAACAAGGTAGGAAGGTGAGGGTCAACTCAAGGAAGTTGTCCTGTTGCTTCTAATAGGGGCCGTGACATGAATTCATACATATAAACATACAAACTAAACATAATTAAAATTCAAATTACATGATGTATACATGTATGCAATCATCACAATGTACCTTGTTAATATGTTTAATTTTATAGCAGTTAAATAAACTTATATAATAAACCATAATTAGATAGATGTAAAGACACATAATCCCACTGCTTAGTAGGAGGCTAGAACAGGGCACTCTTAAGTTCAGGGCCAGCCTGGGCTACACAGAAACACTCTGCCTAGGAACAAACATAGAAAGGCTGTCCATTGCAATGACAGACTTGTAGCTGGCCTTCCATCAGGGCTGAGAGCTGTGCTTTCAAACTGGGCGTTAAACTAGGCCTGGCCCCCCCAAAAAAACTCCCCTCATTTACCTACAAAAATAATCCTTCCTATCTGAGGAACTATAGTCTGGATGTTGTCATGTGTCCACTCAGGCAGTTTTATGGGTTCCCATCTATCCTTTTTTTTTTTTTTTTTTTTTGGTTTTTTCGAGACAAGGTTTCTCTCTATTGTTTTGGAGGCTGTCCTGGAACTCACTCGGTAGACCAGGCTGGCCTCAAACTCACAGAGATCCGCCTGCCTCTGCCTCCCGAGTGCTGGGATTAAAGGTGTGCACCACCAACGCCCCCGCTCCCATCTATCCTTCTGGAGACCAGAGCAAGTTGTAGCTGTACCCTGAGAGGGTCCACACCCAAGAACCCAGGCAGGGCAACTCCCTCTTCCAGTCAGCTCAGCACAACTGGAGGGGGCAGAGTCTCTGCTAAGTGCCGGGATGGAACGTTCTCAAGCTTTAGGTATGCGGGCAAGCAGACTCCAAGGGACTGGTTTCTTATACATCGATAGCACAAAAGCTTGCATACATTGGCCACTTAGGAAATGTCAGGCACAGCTGGGCGGTGATGGCACACACCTTTGATCCCAGCACCCGGGAGGCAGAGGCAGGTGGATCTCTGAGTTTGAGGCCTGTCTGGTCTACAGAGTGAGTTCCAGGACAGCCAGGGCTACACAGAGAAACCCTGTCTAGAAAAACAAACAAATAAAAAAACAAAACCAAAAAAAACAAAACAAAGCGCCAGGCACAGCGCAGGTCATTTGGAGATCTACGTAGGCCTTGATGGCATCACCCTCTGCCCCTGCTGGCGATGGAAGCATAGTGAACGGATGCTATGACACTGCGCCCTGACCCCCTCCTTTTTAGACAAGGTCCCACTCTGTCACCCAGTTTGGCTCTGAACTGCTGGGCTTGAGGAGTCCTCCTGCTTCTGCTTGCCTAGTGGTTGGGGCTACTCAGCCATCAGCCTGCAGGCCGTTTTCTTGACTTCAGTCTTTGGTCTTCCTTTACTTACCCAGGCTTCAAGACCCTGGATGGAAGGAAGGAAGGAAGGAAGGAAGGAAGGAAGGAAGGAAGGAAGGAAGGGACTCCCTAAGTCGTCCTCTAAGCCTCAAACTGATGGTGTGGCATGTGTCCCCCCCACCCGACCACATAGATAAACAAATAAGGAACAAACATAGTATCACAGGCTGGAGAGATGGCTCAGAGGTTAAGAGCACTGACTGCTCTTCCAGGGGTCCTGAGTTCAATTCCCAGCAACCACATGGTGGCTCACAACCATCTGTAATGAGATCTGGTGCCCTCTTCTGGCGTGCAGACATACATGGAGACAGGATGTTGTATTCATAATAAATAAATCTTTAAAAAAACAAAACAAAAAAACGTGGCATTACTTTGTAAGCCGGGCAGGCTTTGATCTCACAGTGTTCTGCTTACCTTAGCTTCCCAAGTACTGTTATTTTACAGGCTTGTCCCACTGTACCTGCATTCACCTTTTTCTTTTACTTTTTTTAAAATGCATTTTATGAAATTCTCTTGAAATCCAATAAGCTTGAATTTAACACAGTAAGAATTGGGCTTTGAATTTTTTTCAGGTTCATTTACTTTATCTTATGTGTATGAATGTGTTTGCCTGCGTGTATGTAGGAGCACTGTGGAGCCTGCGGAGGATAGAAGAGGGCAGTTGGATCATATGTACCTGGTTGTGAGATGTCATGTGGGGTGCTGGGAACCGAACCCAGGTCTTCTGGAAGATCAACGGGTACCGCTCGCTCTTAACCATGGAACCATCTCTCCAGGTCTCACCCTTTTCTTTATGGACATGAATTTACTCACTGACTGTCACAAGGATGGTGAGGTAGGTAAGGTACTAACCCTTGTACAAGGGAAGGAAGGGAGGAGAGAGGATGTCCCGGGACAGACACCAGCAGTTAACACACCAGCAGTTTCTACTTGGCTGCCCCAGGCTCTCTGGACTGCAGAAGGTCGCTGCGTTTCCACTTAGGCAGGTCATTGCGCCCCAGGCTGCAGAAATCCCGACTTTCTGCGTTCCGCGCGCGCAGCAGCTGATTGGGGCTTAGGCGGTGGCGGGAGCCTGAACCTTGCTCCAAGAACCAGCTGCTAGACGCTGTCTCCTAGCAACCGGCTTCAGTCACGTGGCCGCAAGAGTTGGCCTCACGTGGCTCACCGCCCAGCCACGGTTGGAGCTGGCGCAACGCGACAGGCGGGGCTTGGAAGTTTGTTTCCGAGTTCGGAGCCCAGGAGTCCCCGCGACCGTCGGGCAGGTGCCCTCCGCCGGGGTCGGGATGGAGCTGCCAGCCGTGAACTTGAAGGTGCCGCGCGGGGCGGGCGGGGGTTCAGGATCCTGGGGAACCGAGTCAGAGCAGAAGGGAAGGTGCAGAGCCCAAGGGAGGAGGCAGCGGACACCGGGAGGGCCACCCCTCCCGGACAGATCCAGGCTGGCACGGGTCCCGGACCGCCCGGGTCTGTGCTCCTCGTGTCCCCCCAGCAGCAGGACAGGGACACCTCCTGAGATGTCAGACCCCCTCCAGTGCAATCCCGGTGTCCCCAAACAATTGTTTCTCCCAGATTTCCGCATGCAGCGTCCTTACTTCATAATTAAGAAGCAGGAACTGCAGAAGTTTCTCAAAAGCAAAAAACCCCAAAGCCTGTGCCGGGCAGCGGGGATGGTGTCTTCATTTCCTGAGTTTTTTCTTTTACTTTCTCAGCCCTTCTGGTTTGCAACAGAGGGGCTGGCCTCTCAGGGACCTGGAACTAAACCGGCCATCTTGGGCCTCGAAACCCTTAGATTCCCAGGTGTCAAAGCGTTTGGCACCCTTTGGTGTCTGAGACCGAGGGGACGGAAGAGATAGGTGGCTTTGGAGCAGCGATGTAACGCCACAGTTGGGTGATTACACACGGGCTAAGCTGTGACTTGCTCTGCCCGGTTTCCTGTCTGGCTAGCAGCTGGAGGGAGACGGGATTGGAGCAAAGGAATGGGCGTGGCTAGACCCCTTTGCAGGGGAGCGGTTTCCAGGCTGCTGTGGGGCTTGTGGCTTTCAGTCCTAACTGTTGGAGGCAGCCTGGAGGTCAGGCTGTGCCTTGTTCTGCTTGTGCCTGCCCTCAAATAATTAAGAGGACAGCATCAGTGTCAGTGGTAGAGCATTTGAGTAGCCCACACCAGGCCTGGGCTTCATCCCAGTGCCACACACACACACACACTCACGCACACTCACGCACACACACACACTCACTAATTGTAAAATATACGAAAGGGCGAGGAAATAACTGATGTTTGTGATAGGGCTAATATGTTTTACTCATTTGAGTCTGGGTCTCGTGTAGTACAGGCTAGCCTACGTAGCTGAGGGTGACCTCAAACTTCTGATCCTCCTGCCTCTGCCTCCTCGGCCTCTCCAATACTGGAATTGCAGGCTGGTTATGCAGTCCTGGGGATGAACCCTAGGGCTTCTTGCATGCTAAGGAAACGCTCAGCCTGTGTTGCTTACTGATCTCAGCTGAAACTGGACTCTGTCCTTTTTATTTTGAGTCAGGGTCACCTAGCTCTGGCTGGCCTGGGACTCACAACGTAAATCAGTCTGTCTATGCATTCACAGAGATCTGCTTGCTCTTGCCTCCTGAGTCCTGGGATTAAAGGCCTGCACCACAACACCTAGCCAGAGAAGTTATAGTCCCTTAGAGAGCTGCAAACTTCAGCTTAGACATGCAAGTAAATTGCCAGGGTCCCCCAAGAAATAAGTGGTGCAGTCAGGATTTGAATCCCCGAAGACGACCCAGCTCCAGCGTTTGACATTTCCTAGTATCCGGTTACTTGGGACTAACATTGGTTTTGACAGGCACAGAGCGTCCATCGCAGGTGTGAGCTAGATGGACAGGGTTTGGGGCCCAGGATGCAGAGACTGGGCCTCCTTTGATCTGACTGACAAGCCCTGTGTCTCCATGGGTCTTGGCCAGGGCCAATCAGAAACAAGAGAAGGCCAGAAGATGTGCACAGGAAGGCCATCCAGGCGCTTTTGCGTCTCACATTCGTGGCAGGGTTTTGGTTGTGTGTCCCGGGGTGAGGGACATACTGAATTATTCATAATCTGAAATCCCCAGTGGGCGATCTGGTCGTGTTGTCTGCAAGATCTGTGCCCTGTGCAGGACAGCTGGGACACCACGGCTGTCCTTTCAGGGCCACTCTCTGCCCTTTAAAGGCAAGGCGTGCCTGGTATACCCAGCTCAGCTGGGGTGGGCTAGGGGGGCAGGTGAAAAGAAGCAGCTGTCCCAGGCCCTGTGAAAGAAGTCTGTCCCAAGCTGGGCCCCACCCATGCCTCCCTTGAAGCGTGCTGGGGCTGAGCCGAAGCCGCTCCGCTCAGGTCGGACTGGACTTGTGAAGTCTAGGGAGGAGGCCGCTCTGTGACTGGAGGAGCAGGGGAAGTCGAAGGCGGCAATGAGGCCTGCTGTGCTGAGTCCTTCACACACCTCCATCCCCCTGTCCTCCAGAGCCAAGGAGTGGGGTGCGATTATCCCTGCTGACTCCAAAGTCTGCCAGATGACCAGGACAGAGCCTGCCTCTGTCCTGGGTAGCCCCTGAATTAGCTGTCCTGGGGGGCATCATAAGGTCTTATCTATTGGGCCGCACCAAGTGTTTGCCAGGACACACTGGGGTGTATTAACTTGAGGTCTGGGTAGTCCCCATCCTCTCCTCCTCTGGGAGTGGTGAACAAAGGCTTGTTTTGTTTTCTTGTGGTAGAGTACCACATGCCTGGCAGATTCTCTCCCACGGAGCCACAGTCCACAGCCCCGCACAAAGGGTTAATCCTCTCGGCCCCACCACTTCTGCTGACCCACCCTTTTCTAAGTCAGGCTTCACTTTCCTCTGCCCTGCCGCTGCCTTGCAGATCCTGACAGTGGACAGAGTGGCTTTGGGGCCAGGTGGGGTTTTTGTTTGTTTGTTTGTTTTGGTTTTCTGAGACAGGGTTCTCTGTGGCTTTGGAGGCTGTCCTGGAACTCACTCTATAGACCAGGCTGGCCTCAAACTCACAGAGATCCGGCTGCCTCTGCCTCCCAAGTGCTGGGATTAAAGATATGCACCACCACGTTTGGGGCCAGGTTGTAAGGCCAGATGTTGACACTGTTATCTGTGTGACCTGGAGGTTTCTTGACCTCTCTGGGTATCAGTTTGCTCACTGTAAAAAGGGATAGAAATGTGCCTTCTAGGGTGATGCGGGAATTAAAAACTCAAACCAGATGTCCCGAGCCGAGGCAGTGGCAGTGACTGCAGCATACATCTTTAATCTTACCACTTGGGAGACAGAAACAGGCAGCTCTCTGTGAGTTTGAGACCAGCCTGATCTAACAGAGCGTGTCACAGGACAGCCAGCCAATCCTCTGTTGGGGAAACAAACAAACAAAAAACAAAAAAACATCTCAGACCTGAAAACATTTGCAAGCCCCTGAAACGAAAACTCAGTGCAGGTGGTCTTGATCTGGGCTTTGCATCTGAGTTGTTTGGATTTCTGATTGAACCTGGTGTGCCGGGTCTCTGCTGCAGCGTGAGTTCTGCTCCGTTTGGCCTTGCAGACGAAGTGGGTATTGGGTTCCGTGAGTGTGCTCAAGGACCGGTTGGGGTTTTGACGGAGTTACTGCACAGTGGTGGCATAGGGACCACAGTTGACAAGACCTGGCAAGGACCTGCTTCCCCTGAAGACAAGGTTCTGTCTCTCTGCGTGATGGAGAAACACACCGAAGGGGCCTGTGTTCCCCACCCAGCACCCAGTGACCCCTGCTGCCCTGGTCTGTTGCCCTTGTCTGGGGAAAAGCCAGGCAGCCGCTGTGGTTCAGCTCTGTTGTGAGAGTCCCCCGGCCCTTCCCAGTTTCTGTGTGAGAAGCCTGGTCTCCTGTTTCCCTGAATAAGAGCTAGCAGGAATAGGTCTGTGTTCACAGCGGGCCACTGGCCCCTCCCCTATGCGCTTCCAGGAAGGGCTGGACCATTCGGTTCTGCTTCTCCCTGCAACTTTCTTGGAAGTCACATCTCTGAGGGCTGATTGTATTCCCATTACAAAGATGGAGAAACTAAGGCAGGAGAGACTTAGATGTTCTCACCACCATCCTGCCACCCCTCACCCCCACCCCGAGACAGGGTTTCTCTGTGTAATAGCCCTAGCTGTCCTGGACTTACATTATAGTCCAGGCTGGCCTTGAACTCAGAGAGATCTATACACCTGCCTCTTCCTCCTGAGTTCTGGGATTAAAGGTGTGCCATCATGCCCAGCCTGAGACTTCATCTCTTGATAGGGTTCCTTTCCACGGGTACCCAGCACTATCGCCACTGCCATATTCCCTTGAGACAGGGTCTCTCACCACATCTAGAGCTGGGCTGACAGCCAACAAGGCCCTGTGAGCCTCCTGTCTCTCACCCAACACGGAGCTCACTGATTTGGCTAGAAGACTGGCCAGTGAGCCCAGGGGTGCTCATGCAGGCTTCCCGCCTGTCCGCCCTGGTCCTGTGTACCGCCCTGCCTAACTGCCAGCTGCACCAGCAAAGCTCCAGGCCTCCAGGAAGCCCCTTCCTGGGCCACGCCCTCCTCCCACTCAGACAGCTGGTCCTGGCTCCCTGCCAGTGGCCTGGCCATTCCTTGCTTACCCTCAGCGCCCAGCCCAGAAGCCTCTGGCCCACTCTAGCTGACTGATGACAGTGCCCTGAGTCCCGTGGCATCTGCCCCTTAGCGCTCCAGGCAGTGCCTTCTGGATTACCAGCAGAGGCCAATCCAGGACCAGGACTGTGATTTCAAGGATGCCAAATGCAGAAACCCAGGCAGGCCGGAGGGATCTTGTCCTTATCATGAGTCACACTGTGATATCTCCTGCAGAGAAGTCTCAAGCTCCCCTCCGTCATTAAATGTGAAACCTGAGCTGCCAACCGACCACTGCTTTTGGACCCCTCCTCTCCATCTCCACCTCTCCCCTTACTGTTTTATTGTTTCTGTTTTGGAACAGGCCTAGGTTAGTCTTGAACTCATTATGTGGCTGAGGATGATGATCTTGAACTTCCGACCCCTCCTGCCTCTGCCTCCTAAGTGCTGAGATTGCAGGCATGCACAGCTGTGCCTGATTTATGCAGTTTATACAGTGTGGGGATTGAACCCCGGGCTTCAAGTATGCTGGGCAAGCGCTCTACTGACTGAACTTTAGCCCCCTCCCTCCCCCACTCTTCCCTCCCAGCTACTGTGGCTGCCCAGGCTCCCCAGCGGGAACCCCTAATCCTTAAAAACAGAAAGGGGGCCGGGTGGTGGTGGCCCATGCCTTTATCCCAGCACTCGGGAGGCAGAGGCAGGTGGATCTCTGTGAGTTCGAGACCAAGCCTGCACTACAGAGCGAGTTCCAGGACAGCCTCCAAAACAATACAGAGAAACCCTGTCTCGAAAAAATAAAACCTAGAAAGGGGTAGCCGCGCCTGTTCAACCAGGCTCCTCTTTCTCCTTCACCACAGACCCTTTGCTGTTGCTGGGGTTTCTTTAAGACATTTGTAAGCCCCTTGAAGATGCCAGGCAGGGGTCTCCTGTGTGTTCTGGTTTCATAAGCTTTGTGCTGCCTGTGACATTGCGCCCGCAGACTTACCCGATCCTTGTCCTTGTGCCGTAGGTTATTCTCCTGGTTCACTGGCTGCTGACAACCTGGTAAGTGAGTGACTCTGGGTGTCTGGCTGCATCCAGATGTCACCTGGGGTCTGTGTCCACACCTCCCTAGGGAAAGTGTGTGTGTGTGTGTGTGTGTGTGTGTGTGTGTGTGTGTGTGTGTGTGTGTGTGTGTTCCCAGGTCCTGTCAACCTGGTCAGGCCCCGTTCTGCAGTGTTTGAACAGGTCACAATTACCAGTCCATTTGCCCAGGGCTGGGTCTGCCTTCTGTTTATACAGTGGGATAAGGGTTGACCCCTGTAGCAGTGCTTACCAAGCCAAACACCTCCATGGGGCTCCAGGGTGCGGCTTGACCTTCACTGTCGCTTCGGCCGTGTGTCTGGAGCTTCCAGCAAAACTTCTCTGCCAAAACCAAGTCAGGAAAACCACTGAGATCACGTGTGTTTTGCAGGCTTTGAAGTGCTGTGCACACGCCAACAGCTGTGAGTGATGGGTCACTTTCCTCCAGGTCCCACATTGGTGGCCAGGCAGAGCTCACACCTGCCGAGATAGGAGGACTGGAAAGTATAAAGCCTCGTGAGCCAATTGCCAATCCCAGTGTTCCAATCCCAGCCCTGCTGCTGAGTGTCAGGTCCCAAAGAAACCCAGGACAAGTCTCACTCAGCACCTGCGGCGCCTCCCAGCTCTCCCAGCATCCCTCAGTGCCTGTGGCTCCTCCCAGCTCTCCCAGCATCCCTCAGTGCCTGTGGCTCCCTCCAGCACTTCTACCCTGCCCCCATCTTAATCCTCTTCAGCCAGGGTCTGGGCTTCGCTGCATCCCTTCCCCCAGCTTCTGACTCCTCTATAACTCGGCCAGTTTTACTATGCACTCCCTTGGTTCTGCTCTTGGCTCCTCTCCTGGGCCTCTCTCTGTCTGTTTTCCCTCTCTCCTCTTTCTTCTCTTTCTCTTCCTCTCACTCTCCCCCACATCTCTCCTCTCGTGGCCTGGTTCAGTCTGGGCCCTTCCAGATGCCTCTGACTGTTCTCTCCCTCACATCCAGTAAAACCTTCTCCTTAGCCGTGTCTATGAGCAGCCAGGTCCTCATTTTCATTCCCTCAGCAGCTGTGTCACCTGGTCAGTTACCTATTGGGTCTGTGCCTCCGAGTCTGTAAAATGAGGCTCGTGAGAGCACCTCACTCCAAGAACAGATGTGCACACGAATGGATTTAGGGTGTGTAGGGCAGTGCCACACGAATGGATTTAGAGTGTGTAGGGCAGTGCCAGGTCGCAGGAAGTGCCCGTGTTAACTGTGGTGAGCTAGCACTACATTAGGGATACCCTGAGAACTACAGCAGGGAGGGCGTTGGGTCAGGTCAGCGTCGGAGCAGATCTCAGGCAAGGCTGAGCTCCAAGATGACAAGGAATGGCTGTGCAATCAGAAAACACAGCCGCAGGGGGCAGCCAGGAGGTAAGGGTGGAGGTCACAGGAACCCCATAGACCACAGCATAGAAGGTATCTCAAACACGTCAGAAAACTGTTGGGAAGGTTGGCGTGAAGGTGTCACGTGATCTGACCCACATACCACTTGCTGTTTCATGAACTGTCTGCAAAGGGGCAAGAGTGACAGCAAGACCAGCAGCAGAGAAGCCGGCCGAGAGAGGGTGGATGAGGCCAATTCGGGGAGCCAGGGTGGTCTGTTCTCAGAGGAGCAGGCGGAAGGCACTGTGGGTGGGGCGGGCAGCTCAGGGTGGTGGTGGCTGATTGACAGTCTCTCTCTCCCTCTGCAGGGGCTGCCTGCTGTTCTCAGGCTCCTATGCCTGGAGCAACTTCACTGTCCTGGCCCTGGGCGTGTGGGCTGTGGCCCAGCGGGACTCTATTGATGCCATAGGCATGGTGAGCGGGGAGCTGGGGGAGAAAGCAGGGAACTCCATAGGCATGGTGAGTGGGGAGCTAGGGGAGAAAGCAGGGAACTCGCTTCATCAATCCCAGGCCTCTCTCTTCCTCGTGCCCACCCTTTTCTGTTCCGAAGCCTTGTCCTTAAGCCTCCCAGGATGGAGAGCCCCTAGCTGGGCTAACTGCACAGCTCCCCCTCCACATGGGGTGAAAGTCACAGACTGGCTGTCCTCCCAGGCAATCTGACTTGTTTCAGGATTGTCTTTTTGGGGGGAAATGATGTGACCAGGAGGCCCAGACAGGAAGGAGCACCCTTTGCTTTATAGACTCAGAGTTGACACAGGCCTGAGGTGTAGGAGGTGCCCAGCTTCTCACAGGGAGGCCTCGGCTCCTTAGGAGGACCGCAAAAGGGCTTTCCCGTTTCCCCATAGCGTAAACAGATGGTGTAGACACCAAGGGACTGTTCCTCTCGAATTCAATTCTGGAGCCAGGTGTTGGGTCCCATCATGGCCCCAGTGGCAGGAAATGTGGCCTGCTCCTAGGTCATTCAGGTGTCACCATAAGATGTACCCCAGGCTGGTGTGTGTGAGGGTCTGGGGCTGTCAGTGTTCATGACCCCATAGTGGTGTTTCTCGCAGTTCCTTGGTGGCTTGGTGGCCACCATCTTCCTGGACATCATCTACATCAGCATCTTCTACCGAAGCCCTACCGCTGACGACACTGCCCGCTTCGCTGCCGGCATGGCCATCCTCAGCTTGCTGCTGAAACCCTTCTCTTGCTGCCTGGTCTACCACATGCACCGTGAGCGAGGCGGGGAACTTCCGCTCCGCTCAGGTAAGTCCCAGCACCGTCCTGCCTCTCCCCGTCCCGTATCAAGCTCCTAGGCATTTCTGCAAAAGCCTGGGTCCCAGTCTGGCGGTGACCCAGACATATCCCTGCCCTCTCTAACCCTGTTCTCCTGGGGGACCTGGGCATGGGTGGGAGAGCTCTGAGTCAAGGCAAGGGTGGCCTATGGCTACCCACTCTGGTTTACCTCAGCACTATCTGGACCTGCCCGGGTATGGAGGGAACGGAGGAGAGGATGAAGTCCCACTGCCCTTGGGGCTTGGCTTGTTCATGGTTCCAGGACAAATGTGTACGGGGGGGGAGGGGGGTTGAGAGATGTGGCGTGCCTTAACCTTCTGGGTATAGCAATGAGTCCTTGTGCCTAGCCAAGAGTAGGAGAGGAGCCTGTCGGCCCAGGGTGGCCACCTCTCGTCAGATTCCTGAGCGTGAGCTGCTGGGGACAGGCACAGATGGCACTGCAGCCGGTAGCCATGGACCATAAGACCTGCTACTTAGATTTGAACCTCGGTGTCATCTGCTTCAAGCCACATAGCATATCAGTGTGTCTTGCTGGCTGCCCCTGCAGATTCCTCATCTGCAAATCTGCACCCCATACGGACACGAGGATGGGGTGGACCCTGGCTGCCAAAGGCTCCGTGTCCAGGCGTTTACTTCAGACTGTTGTCCTTGGTATCCAGCACTCACCTGTGCTCAGCGTAGGCCCCACGCTGGTCTCATTTCCCCACCCTGGTGTTCCCTGTCCTCTAGATTTCTTCGGACCGTCTCAGGAGCATAGCGCCTACCAGACAATTGACTCATCAGACTCGCCTGCAGCCCCCTTTGCCACCGTGGAGGACAAGGGCCAGGCTGCCCCCCGGGGGTACTGAAGCTGCCCCCAGTCTTCCTGGTGCCCAGCAGGATGCTTGTCACCTCCTTTCTGGACCTGCAGTGGAGTGTCCTCCATTCCCTGCCACAGAGGTGGCATGAGTCAAGTACCTTGCAGGTCACAGGCCTCTGGCTTCCCAGCTAAGAAGAGCCAATTCCTAACTCTCCAGGGAGCACCCCCTCCAACACACCTGCTAACCTGTGGCTAAAACTGGCTGCTTTCTCCACCGTCTACGCCGTAACTATACTGTGCCCCTGCCGGCCAGTGCTACGTGGTGCATGCAGGGCCACTCCTCAAGGGCCAGTGATGGTTGCCTCTCAGGCCTCTCAGGCTCTAAAATGGTCCAGCGCTTCCTGGAAGCTTTAGAAGCTTCTAGTCCTGCTTAGCCTGTCTCCCTGTGTCTGTCACTGCCTGATGGCTTGGTACCTGGGAACCCCAGGCCTGGAGGCAGCAGGTCTGCGGAGGCCCCTCTCAGTCCTACTATTAAAATTTGGGGTTCTGTGGCTGGGCTGTGTTTAAGCCGTGTTTCATCTCCCAGCTGGGACCTGCCTTGCCCTTCTGGGCCCTAAGTAACCAATTGCACAGCCCCTGGAGCCAGTTATAATACTAAGCCACGAGGCAAGGCATGGATGACCTCCTCCAGGTGTTCTGACCACGGTCAACCACCTCCTGAGGTGGCAGAGCCAGGCCCCCACTGTGACTCAACTGCCAGGTCTCTGGGGACAGATAATTGAAGACTTAGGGGTGCCACAGACAGAGGCAAGGATCCTGAAAGAATCATGAGCCTGTAGACAGGCAGGGAGGCTGAGTGACAGCAGTTGTAAAAAGTGAGCAGCCTTCCTGGGAGCTTCACCTGCGGTTCATCTGCTGTGTGGAGCACCATCCCTTAATCATCAGGTAACCCAGACCTGTTGGCTTCCACGCTGAGCCTAGTGTGAGCAACTGTGGTGAAGGGCAGCATGTGCCACTAGGGGGCGTTAGGTGTGGCTCAGCCTCAAAATCCTTAGGTTTGTTTGTAGTGGGAATAATAAAAACCACTAGAGGGAGTTAGGTGTGGCTCAGCCTCAAAATCCTTATGTTTGTTTGTAGTGCAAATAATAAAAACCCAGAGACAGGTATTGGGGTCCAGTCTGAAGCAAAGAGGCCAGCCACTTGAGAGTTCTCATCTCTACCAATGCTTAGACTGAAGGGGAAATCCACCAACCTCAGACTGCACCTCCAGACCGCTCTGTTTCTCTTTTAGACTGATTCACTCTCGTGTAGCTCAGGGCCTTGAACTCACAGAGATCCATCTGCCTCTGTCTCGCCAGCCCTGGGATTAAGGGTGTGTGCCACCACTGTCCAGCTTCTGTGGCTGACTAGCGTGGCTGGCTTTGCATTCTGATCTTCAGGCAAGCTTTATTAAATCATAAACAAAATATCACCACATTTGATTAGCGTGTATGCAGCACATTATAAAACATGAGCCGGGCCCAGAGAAATGGCTCAGCAGGTAAAAGGCATCTACCACTGACCTGATGATCTGCCTTTGGCCAGTTCCAGGGGTGAGGTCATACCACCACCACCCGCAATAGATGCGTGTTAGAAAGCAAACAACCCAGAATATTAAAAACACGCCCTGGGTGGGATACATGTCAAGTTCATGACTGCAGAGGTCTTGGAGGGGGAGGCATGTAACCTGAAACCAACAGGATGAAAATCTAAGTAGTTTTCTCGTGTTTCTGTAAGGGTTCTTGGCCGAAGGAAGGCTTGGGGTATCCGTGTCTGTGTCCCTCGGAATAGGTCAGCCTTGCAGAGACAGAAAGGGAGGGAGGGGCTTGGCCTAAGTGGCTAGACCAGGTCACAGCCTGAGACCCACCCCCTCCTCCTGGGTCCCAGGCTCCCAAATCTGACTGACTCTAGAGAGGCTACAGAAGGGGCATCTCTGGAAGGGGTCTCCAAAGCAGACTGAGACTAGACCAACTCTCATTGGCCAAGGGCTGTCCCATGGTGGGTTGTCAACTTCCAGCTGATGGAGGAGAGGCATTGAGGGTACCAGTGCTGGCTGCTTCCTCACATAGCAGCTCCACAAAAACGAACATCCGGCACCGGAGTAGGTGGATGAAGAGAAGAGACATACCCTAGAAGGTAGGGGCAGGTCCAAGTGGAGGGCCAGCCCTCAGGAAGCCTGAAGTAAGTAGGAGCGCTGGCCTGCGTGTGGTCAGGAAGCAGGTGTGACTGGAATGCTGAGGGTTGGACAACAGAAGAGGAAGTTAGGAGCCACTATGGAGACTGCCTTTCACTACACTGAGTGAGAGCTGGAGAGAGCATGTGTCAGAATCCGAAAGCTAAATCGACTGGTTGATACACCCTAGAAAGGACGGTTTTGCATTTGGGGGCTGTGGTCTGTGGAAGCTGTCAACTCCTGGACACTGAAGGTGGGCCAGCGGGCTCTGCAGACGCACTACAGGGAGAGAAGCCAGGATTCGCTAATAGCAAGATTGGGGCTGCAGCCTGCCATTGCCACTGACCAGAGGGAGGAGAGTCGTACACAGGCAGGCCACACAGGGCCCAGAAGGGCTGTGGAATGGAGTTCTTCAACCAGCCGTTCTCACCACCAGCTGCCTCTTGTGCCCTGAGTCCCGTGGTGATTTGGACACAGGACAGCTCCCAGGTTTTATTCTATATTCTGCCCCTCTAGGGAGGTCTCCTACCTCTGGTCTGCAGAACTGAAGTCCCCTGTCCACATTGCAAATCCGTTGCTTGTTTGTACTGAGTTGAGTCTCCCTGAGGACAAAGTCAGAGAAACTGCCCGAAAACTGCCAATCTGCCCCACCCAGGGCTGTCCTCGGTCTCCAGAAAAGCCTAGGGTGTCAGTTTTCAACAGCCAGCCTGCAACCCACCCTGCAACCAGTGAGCCATTCTTTAAATCTTAAAGGTGAACCAATGAGATGGCTCATGGGGAAGGGGCTTGCCATCGAAATCCAAGTTTGATGTCTGAGACCCAACTCCTGCGAGTTGTCCTCTGACCACCATATTTGTACTGTGGTACATGTCCCCTCCACAAAGAAATGTAATTAAGTCCTAAAGGCACCCTGAGACCTCTATATAAGAGATATCCGTTTCTCTTTGGTTTTGCTTTGTTTTTTGAAATAGGTTTCTCTGTGTACCACTGGCTATCTTTGAACTCACTCTGTAGACCAGGCTAGCCTCGAATTCAAGAAATCCACCTGTCTCTGCCTTCTAAGTGCTGGGATTAAAGTTGTGCACAACCACCACCCTGCTGGACAACTGCTTCTGAATCTCATTGTGCCTCAGTTTCCTGATTTGAAAAGTGGGAATACGATGGGCTGTTGAGATGGCTTACTCAGTGGGTAAGGAGACATACCGTCAAGTCTGATAGCCTGAGTTTCATTCCTGGGGTCCGCATGGTGTTAGAAGAGAAGGCTACTCCTGAAAGCTGTCTTCTCTTCCCCGCGTGAACATCATGGCACTTTGGGCACGTGCATGTGCACACACACAATAAAAAATGTAAATTAAAATTAAGTGATGATAAGAATCCTGTGGGACTCGGGGACTAGTGATGGTGGGGAAGGGTGTAACCTCGATGTTCAATAAATGTTACAAACTATTGTATGTATGCATTGCTGTGATACCTCCCAAGGGGGGAGGGTGGCCAGTCTGTCTATCCAAATAGCTACTCATTGATCAGGTGTGTAAACATCGTGGGGGTACCTTTCCACGGTTTCAGAAGGCTGGAAGTACCTGCCAAGACTCCATTCCGTGAAGCTCATGTCTGAGCCAGAGATGGCCTCCGGAGCAGTGGGTGGCTCTGAGGCCGGAGGCTGGAGCTAAGTGTTTTCCTGCCCCAGGAACTTCATTTAAAACTCTGTACATAATAGAATTACTTATGACCCAGAGTATGAAAAAGCCAGTCTGTTGGCATCTCTACCCCCTCTGCCCTTACTACGAGGGAACCTAAAGTTCCCCAGCTCCCAAAAAAAGAGACTGACCTGGGGACGCACAGACTTGGAAAGAGGAGCCTTGGCCAGGTGTAGAGCTGACCTCAGAGCTGATAGGTGCTTTATGGAGGCTGGGGTGACAGGTAATATAAGAGAACGGCCACTTCTGCAGTTGACAAATGCGGCTTTAAAGTAGAGACTCAGTGCAGGAGACAGACCTGAGGACTGGTGGGCTGGAAGCCAGGTTTGAAGGAGTCTCAGAAAAGCAGCCTGGAGACGATATGGAAAGGGGTTAAACGTTTACAAGGTGAGGTTGTGGGAAGGTGGCCAAAAGGCCTCATCCACTGGGTTTAGGAGGGTATTTGTCACGGACTTTTTTTTTAATTAATTTGTTTTTGAGACAGGGTTCCCTATGTAGTGCTGGCTGCCCTGGACTCACACAGGTCTGTCTGCCTTGTCTACCACACACACGGCTTGACATAGTCTTAGGAGGGGTACGAGGAAGGCTGGAGATCTAACTCGGCAGAAAAGACCCTGCCTAGCATGCACAGGTCGCGGGTTCAATTCCCAGCACCGCTTTTTTAAAAATGGGGTATCACAGAAAGTTGGGAATTTGTCTAAAGCCACCCAACAGCTCAATCCCTGTGACAGGAAAAGCACACATGGCAGAGTGCACTGTGGAGCAGACCAGGCAAAGGTTTGTAATGTGGAAAATGCGCGATTTGAAGGGAAGCATGATCGCACCAATTTCAAAGCATGCCGACGACATGTGGGGTGATTTCCAGCCACTTCTTGGGGGGGGGACCTGTGGCCCGGAGATCACAAACAATGTGCCAAAAAAAAAAGTCTGCCTTGGAACTGAGATGCAGGTCCTGGGCTAGAACCACAGCACAGAGCGTGCGCAGCTCATTCGGACTTATGCGCGCGTACAGGGATCTGCAACTTTTGCTTGGAAACGCGCAAGGCACCCTGGGGGCGGGGCGGGGCGGGGCGGGGCGGGGCGGGGCTAGAGGAGCACGCTCTTGTCTTTGACATTCTTCCACCTCACACTTAACGTGGTCGTTAGCGGTCCCCAGCGGAGAGCCCCGCCCTATTCAAACCTGATTGGTTAAAAGAAAGGACCAAGAAAGACTGAGTGCAGGAAACTGGTCTCAGGCTCCTACGGTGAGGAAGGGAGGCTCTGAGTGTCCTTATGTGGGCGTGGGGATGACAGGGCAGGACCTAAAAAAAAGGGAGTGGTAAGAGAGGCCGTCCATGCTTACAAACCTGCCTTCTCAGCAGAGCTGCCCAGCTGTGCGACTGTGCAACCGGCTGGCGGCCTTTCTAAGTCTCGGTGGCTTCGTTTCTAGAACCGGGAAGCAATCTTAGGACTGACCGCGGTGCAGATTAAACGGCAGGCAGAGCTGGTGTTTAGCGAGGTACAGACACTTAACACGTTCATAAGCCCAGGCTATTCTGTATGCTGCGTGTGTGTAGGTGAGAGCATCATCTCTGCAATACACACAGTGATGGTACATGCCAGGAGGAGCACATGCAGGGCACAGAGAGTGGGGGGGGGCAGCATGCCACGGATGTCAGAAGGGCTTGGTGATGCTTGCGGCAGAACTCTAGTACAGGAGGAAGGGAGGGAGAGAAAAAGAAAAGTGAAAAGGCTGGTGATGAGACTCTGGAGTGTGCTTGCCTAGCATGCGGAAAACCCAGGGTTTGGGCTCCAGCACCACACAGACTAGGCATGGTGGCACAAGCCTGTAATCCCAGCACGTGGGAGAGGGAGTTCAGTGTCATCCTTGGCTACACCTAGCAAGCTTGGTCTACATGAGAAACTCTCAAAACAGAAGAGAGACGGGAGAGATGGCTCAGTGGTTAAGGATACTTGTTCGTCCAGAGGACCCGAGTTTGGTTCCCAGAACCCACATGATGGCTCATAACCATCTATAACTCCAGTTCCTGGAGATCTGACGTCCTTAGATTGGCATGGAGATGCACACCTTTAATCCCAGCACTTGGGAGGCAGCGGCAGGTGAACTTTTGAGTTTGAGGCCAGCCTGGTCTATAATGTAAGTTCCAGGCCAGTCAGGGTTACATAGACCAGCCTCAAAAAAAAAAAAAAAAAAAAAAAAGAAAAGAAAAGAAAAGAAATCAGGCTGGAGAGATGACTCAGAGGTTAAGAGCACTGGCTGCTCTTCCAGAGGTCCTGAGTTCGATTCCCAGCAACCACATGGTGGCTCACAAACCATCTATAATAAGATCTGGCGCCCTCTTCTGGCCTGCAGACAAACATGCAGGTAGAACACTGTATACATAATAAATAAATAAATATTTTAAAAGCTCAAAAAAGGAGAAAATATAACAACGAGAAGAGGAGAAGCTATGTGAGGCTGTGAGCAGAGACCGCTATGCAGAGAGGGACCATGTCCAGAATAGCAGAGGCTGTGGATGCTGAGGATCTAACCCGGGTCTCATGTATGCCAGGCCGGTGCCCCACCCTGAGCTACACCCCACCCCAACCCACCTAATTGAATGCACAGCTGTCCCACAGCCCATGGAGCCGAGGCCTGCCGCCAGATGCAAAGAGAACGTGGCCCCGAAGACTCCGACTGTCCTGGGGCCAGGTAAGAAGCCCACTGAGCCTGGCAAGGTGGTGGCAGTGGGGTCCTCCCCAGGTACCTGCCCAGCATCTTTCTGGCTCTGGAGATTTGATTCCCAAGGTTGACTTGGTTGGTACATTATCAAGGGTGAGGCCTCAGAAGAGAGGGGTCCCAAAGGGGAGGATCTTGGAAGGGCACCACCTCTGAACGGTGGAGTCCCTGTGGGTTAGGGTGAGGTTCTGGGAGCGAGGGATCTTGGGCTATAAAAAGATTACAGAAATCTGGGCGGTGGTAATTCACTCCTTTAATCCCAGCACTTGGGAGGCAGAGGCAGGCGGATCTCTCTGAGTTTGAGGTCAACCTGGTCTGCAGTTCAGTACAGCCAGGGCTGTTACACAGAGAAACCCTGACTTTTTTTTTTTTTTTTTTTTTTTTGGTTTTACGAGACAGGGTTTCTCTGTATTGTTTGGAGGCTGTCGGTCCAGCCTGGCCTCAAACTCACAGAGATCCGCCTGCCTCTGCCTCCCCAGTGCTGGGATTAAAGGCGTGCGCCACCACTGCCCTGTCAGACTCTGATTTTTATTCCTGGATCAACTGGGGGTCACTGGAGGGCAACAGGTGGAACTGCTAAGGGTTGGGAGTGTCCCGAGTGACCTCTGGGTAAATTGTAAGCTGGTCACTTTTCTCCCTTTACCCCTTCTTCTCAGCCGGTTGCCCCATATCCAAAGCCCTCCATATACCCTGGTCCCAGCGACAGACAGCCCTCCCTCAGGCTCCCCTCTGCCCCTCCTCTTCCATGCTGTATGTAGCCAGGCCTCATGTCAAATCACATCACCACCTGGCTCAGAGGTCTCTGGGCCTGGCCTGCACAACGGCTCCCTCAGGGCGGTGCAGCTGAAGGCCTGACTCCTTCCCACCAGGAGCCCTGCCACTCACCAGCTCTGAGGCCTGGGTACCCATTTGTCTTACCTGAGAAGCCATCACCTGGTTCCCAGGGTGTGGCTGTCTCTCTTCCTTACAGAGCTGAAGAGACCCCGGAGGAACCTGGACATCGGCCTGGGGAGTAGAGGAGGCAGGAGGATGCCCATGTGCCAGGCCGCCACACGCTCCCAAGGCTCGGTGCTGTGCCAGAAACCTTACCAAGTCCAAAGCAATCTGACCAGTCCTTGTCCCCGCCCGGCCCTTGCCCTGAAGGCTACAACTGGCCAACTAGGTGACGCAGGTCTCTGGCAGCAGAGTAACATACAGCTTCCAGCAGGGAGGTCCCAATCGAGGGCCCGAGAACCCTTTGCACAGCAGAGTAACCTGTGCTTCCGAGGGACCACCAGCCCCCGTCTGTGCAACAGCTGCCTGCCACCAACTGGCCCCTCCTCCTACCAGAGGCGGACACTCCAGGCCATGGACACCCCCTCCTTGGACTTGAGACTCTGTGGGGCCTTGGCACCTCTTGATGGGGGCTCAAGGCCTGGCCCCAGGCCCTGGTGTGGTTCAGGGAGCTGGGCATCCAGGCTTGTGGAGGAGCCGCTCACCTTGGAGGACTTGTCTGTCCCCGCCCACAGTCAGTCTTGGGTCCCATCCCGCTCCCTGTGCAGCGCTGACCACTGGCTGCTGGACTCCATCCAACACTTAGACCCTGAGGCAACCGGTTCAAGGAGCCCGGCCTGCCAGGAACACCCAGGCCCCACACAGAGGAGGGCACATACCCGCGGAGGCCAGCCAGCCCCTACCCAACCCTGGCCCCACCACCCTGGGGAACGTATAAACCTCCTGGGGACTCTTGGGACCCAAGCTAGACTCTCAGAGTCCCCTGTAAACCAGCCCCTGTTCCACGAGGCCACCCTGGGGACACTGGCTGGGGATTTCTCTAACTCATACCAGGAGGCCCTTTCTACCCAGCACCTTGGGGCAAGAGAGAGGGACTCCCCAGACCTTCCATCTAACAAGAGGAACAAAGGGCACTTCAGGGTCACACGAGAAGCAGGTAGCAGAGAGGCCAGATTCGAATCTCCAACCTTCTTCAGTGTCCTGCCTAGGCAGGCAGGAAGAGAGAAGACCCCACAGGAGAAAGCAGTCAGGGATGGGGAGCGAATGGCTTCGTGCCCATCAAATACAGCCCCAGATCAGAGTGCTCTACAGGTAGAAGTCCCAGGACGTGGGGGGGGCACTCCTAGAAGATGGTTTGGCTGAAGTTGTCACTCTTCCTCTTTAGTCTGAGAGCTGTCATGGCTTTTGTTTCTGCAGAGCAAGGCTCAAAGTGTTGGGACCTCGGATCCCCAGGCAGCGTGGTGAGGTCCTGCTGTGTGTGTGTGGTGGGGGGGAGCGACTCCAGAGACAGCTCCTGACCCATCTGCCTGTGCCAGAAACTTGATAGAGATGGGCATCTTATGGCAGAGACACAGCAGGGTTTCAAGGGGGACAGAACTATCTTCACACTGCCCCTCATGAGGAACCAGGGGCCTGCAGGGCCCAAGGACAAGTTCTACATCCTGGGTTTGGCTCCCTGGGAATTATAGACATCAGTGTAGTGGGGGGCAGTTCTCCTCTCTCTGGGAGGGGACTATTAAGTCCAGGCATTAGCAAAGGGGTTCTGTGGGTGTACAGCTAGGACTTCTGCTGTGGAAAGGGGTGTCACCTTCACGATTACTGGAAAAGTCGTATGAATGGAGTCCTAGGCAGCTGAGAGTGGTGTCCACCCCTTCATCAGCCCTGCCCTGTCCCCAGCCAGAAGCTGCTGTCCAGAAGTTTCAGAGCCTGGAGGCGTTTGTCGCAGAGGCACCAGGCAGCAGCTAAGGCCTTAGCTCTGAGCCTCAGATTACTGCGCTGGGCCCGGGAGGCCCGGCTGGAGGCAGCTTGGGGGCAACATGCAGAGGCTCTGCTGGCCTGGAGCTTCCGAGAGGTCTGTGTTCTCTAGCTTGGGGCTTGGGGGGAAGGACACGGCTCTATTTTGTCTGAGAGGTGGCTACACCTACTGAGAGAGGGCATCCGCTGGGCCCAGGTCTCATCTCTCCAGCTCCTTGTTTGCTAGCTTGGCCCGGGAGGATGTGTGGGTATTCTTCCTCGGTGGGTACTGAGTGAGGGCGGAAGGTTTGCCTCCAAAGGAAAGCTTTGTCTCTTGGGATTCTTGCTACATTCCATTATTCCCGAGGAAATGGCCTTAGGTTAGGGCCAGAGCTTTGGTGGCTGACAGGAGCCTCATTCTAGGCTCAGCTGGCATCCTTTTGCCCATTGTCTTTTGACCCAGGAGAGACGTGTTGCTTTGCAGCAGAAACAGGAGCTACCCCACACCCAGGCTGTGTCTCCGTTCCTTGCTTCTAGGGGAAGCCCTTCCTTGGGAAGAAAAGCAGCCACAGACCTTGCCTGGAAATGCAGGTGAGCTTGGACAGACACCAAGACTGGGCAATGTGGCCTAGGCAGCTGGTGGCCTACTCCCCAATTGCTCCCCTGCCCCTGCCTACCAGCTTCTTCCATAGAGAACTATGATGAGGAAAAAAATTCCAGTCATTACATCATTTATAGTTATAAATATATGGCCTACCTAACCATATATTAAGTTGTTAAGTAACCAGAAAATATAATGTTTGTTTTTATTTATTTATATTTTATACTTATTTTTATTGACATGTGTGAGCTTGAATGGTTGCATGTGCACACATGCATTCAAGGCTCCCACAGAACCCAGAATAAGGCAGTGGATCCCCTGGATCTGAGTTATAGGCGCTTCGTGAGCTGGCAGGTGTGGGTGCTGGGAACTGAACCCTGGTCCTCTGCAAAAGCAGCCGGTGCTCTTAACCACTGAGCCATCCCTCCAGCCCCCATAATACTTTTTTTAATCTGTGGGCCTTTTCTGTTTTTTTATTCCATACCCCCATGTTGGTCCCCTGTCCCTCCCAGGAGCTTTTAACACTGGAAGTGACCTAGTGACCTAGGCATGGTGAGTGACATGAAGAATGAATTGTGACTGGTGGAGGGAGGCAAGGACCAGGGCACCTCGCAAAGGGGGCGGAGTACGCAAGGACCTTAATGAGAGCAGCAAAAGCTCCTAGGCCCAGCTACTCAGGACGCTGAGGCAGGGGGATTACGGGAGTCCAGGAAATCAAGGTCACATATTAGGATGACCAAATACATTAAGGAGAAAACCAGTACTGGGTGGGGTGGTGAACTCCTTTAGTTCCAGCACTGGGGAGGCAGAAACAGGTGGATCTCTGTGAGTTGGAGGCCAACCTGGTCTACAGAGCAAGTTCCAGGTCTGCCAGGGCTACATGGAGAAACCCTGCCTTTTTTCTTTTTTCTTTTTTTCTTTTTTTTTTTTTTTTGGTTTTTAGAGACAGGGTTTCTCTGCATTGTTTTGGAGGCTGTCCTGGAACTCGCTCTGTAGACCAGGCTGGCCTCGAACTCACAGAGATCCGCCTGCCTCTGCCTCCCCAGTGCTGGGATTAAAGGCGTGCGCCACCACCGCCCAGCCAAGAAACCCTGTCTTGAAATAAACGAACGAACAAACCCAAAACGCAGCAATAATGGGCAGCTAATTCAGACAGGTGGAAAAGGTGTTCGGGCGGGGTCAGGTCCCACCTAGCTTGGGGGCCACGGGGAGGAGTTGAGATTTTATTCTAGGAGCACAGAGGACGCCTCAGGAGGCTGAGCAGGTACTTAAGCTGATTGGAGTCAGGACGACAGAAATACCACTCTGGTCAGAGTCGGGACCAACAGAATGAGTGAGGCAAGGGTGGATGTGGAGGGCCAGGCGGGGGGTGCTGGGGCCCTGCAGGCACCCAGGGTTGACATTTGTGGCCTGAGCAGATGCCATGCTGTTTCTTGCAGCCTTCTGCCTCACAGGTGAGAAACAGAGGCTCAGAAAGGGCAAGGCTGGGGCCTCTGAAGTGTGTGTGTGTGTGTGTGTGTGTGTGTGTGTGTACATGCGCCTGTGTGGCAGGAGGCAGGTGGGGCAGGTGCTGCCAAGGGTGGTTTCCCCCTCTCTTGCTAGGTGCTTCAGGGCCTGGCAACGGTTCGTGCAAAGAGGGGCCCGGTGCAGGAGACACCTGGCCCACCGAAGGGTGAGGGTCCTGAGGATTTGCTTGGGACAGTGGGTGGAGATGAAGCAGCTCCAGGCCTCAAATGTGACAAAGGTGTCTCAGTTGGCCCTCTACCGGCGGAAGGCAGGTGAGCCAGTGGCAAACTTGTGGGGAGGGGGAGGAGGGTTCCTTCCAACCAGAGCTCCAATTAATTAAGCTCCAGAGCCCAGTGAAACTCAAGAATATCACAATGGGAGAGGACTCTGCTGAGCTGGGCTTTTGGGGGGGGGCTTGCCCTTTGGGGGTGGGGGCTTGCCCTTTGGGGGTGGGGGGCTTGCCCTTTGGGAGAGTTCCCTGAGGGATCAGGCCTTGCTGGGCTACACCCCTGTCCCCATGTAAGCGGTTCTGGGCAGGGAACTATTCTGGCTTAGTGCTGAGTGGCCCTACATTCTACCATGGAAGCATGTGGTCCTCTGCTCCAGGAAGGCCCTTCCCAAGCTGGGGAAGATGGGACTTGAGGCAGCCCGTGGGAAGCATGTGGAGGACACAGGAGGGCAGAGCCCATGACGGGGAGGCCAGGAAGGCCTGAGGATGCAGCGGCACGCTTATGAACAGCAACTTAACCACCTTCTTTCCAGGGAATAAGGCCCTCAGCATCTTAGTCCCAGGAACTGCCACTTCCCATTGCCTGGAGACAGTGGTCCAGGCCCAGCAGCTACCCAAGGAGTCCGATCCGTGCTCCCTGTGGGAAGCCTGCCAAAGGCTGGCCCTCCACCGGGTCCTGCTGCTCTGGAGGACACGACTCTACCAGCACCAGCAAGCCTTGTATGTGTCCAGAAACCAATGACATAGGGAACAAACAAGGTGGATACATTATCATTGTCCTTTCCATCCTGGTCAACATCCCTAGCCTTCCCATGGCCTTGACAGGAGGCCTGATATGATACATTGTGTCTCCCAGCAGATATCAGGCCCTGGGAGGTGGCTGTGAAACAATGAGACAGTGACCAAGCAGGAAGCTGCTGGGACCACTTTCTCCCAGCTGCCTTTTCAAGGACAGGTGGCACCAGGATTCTGAGCCCAGGCTGTGGGGAAGGGAGGCTGGGGTCAGCAGGGGCCAGCTTCTAGACTAGGCTGTCAGGGAGAATAACCCAGGAGTTACAGAGCTATGAATTCGGTTTTAGCAGGGCAGTGGTGGCGCATTCTATTAATCCCAGCACTTGGGAAGCAGAGGCAGGTGGATCTGTGAGTTCAAGGTCAGCCTGGTCTATAGAGCGGGTTCTATGACAACCAGGCCTACACCAAGAAACCTTGTTCAAAAAGAAGGAGGAGGAGGAGGAGGAGAAGAAGAATTCTGTTCTATCAACCATGATGGTACATAGTTCAGGATGACTACACACTACTGGCAATCCTCCTGCCTCAATTTCCTGAGTTGTGAGGTTACAATCTTGAACGTGAACTACCACACCTGGCTTGTGTTTCATTGTTTCCGTTTTTGTTTCACTCTGCTTTGCTTTGTTTTTAGGAAAAGTTGTTTTGTTTTGTTTGTTTGCTCTTAACTGAGTTCCCCACTAGAGGGCAGTGGGCTGGGCTGTCACTGGAGAGACTCCTTTGTGTCTTTGCGGGACCCGGCATCAGGCCTTCAAACTCATCCACACTAGGCAAGCGCCCCACCACTGAGCTGTGACATCATGTCTTGAAACTCCGAGTGATCCATTGATTTCAACTGATCAAGGCTTTCCAGCTGGGTCCTCTCACAGCAGCCCTGTCCCAGCTGTGGGTGCGCGGGGGGGGGTGTCCCAGAGACTTACCTGCCCCCCTCTCCCAGCTCCTTTCTTCAGGGCATGCAGAAGCGGGCTCTGCACCAAGTCCTGAATCAGTGGCGCTTAAGGGGCTGGGGTCCGGCCCCTCCCTCAAGCAGAGTGGAGGCCCTGTTAGCCCTGCAGCCGTGGACCAACAGCCTGAGAGGGGAAGCCTGGCTGGGCTGCAGAACATCAGGGGAATCACTGGAGAAGGTGAGGGGCTGGAGGGAGGTGGGGATGGGGGAGCCCAGGGCTCACCCCTACCGCACTTTCCCAGGGCCCTCGCCCTCCTGGAGACCTCTCTGGTGGGTATCCTGTGGGCAGCCAGGTGGCGCACACAACAGGGACTGTGCCTTCTTCCCTGGCAGGTGCGGGCCCAGCAGACCCAGGGTGCAGTGAGGTTGTACTGGCATACCCTCCAGAGGCGGTAGGAACCCCTCCCCAGGAAGGGAGAGCCCCTGCAGTCCACTGTGTTTCCTGGCTGCTCCTCCTACCCATCCTTGGCCTTCCCAGCGGCAGACTGTGGAGTCTGCATCGCAGGGGGCTCCCTGCTCACAACCCAGTCAGCATGGTCCTCAGGATCCTGGCCGGCCGTTTAACTTCTCATGTCCTCCTGCCCTATCCTGCTGTGAGGGTGGGAGTCGGGGCAGGACACTCTGTAGTGTATTTCTCTCCAGATGCTCTCACAGGGCAGGGCTTGAGAAGGGACTGATTACATCCCAACACTTGCTGGCTGTGTGATTTGGGACAAGTTACTTGACTTCTCTGTGCCTCTGTTTCCCTGTCTGTAAAATGAGGATAATTACAGCACTGACTTCAATGGCAGAGCACTGGACTTGGTATCAGAGGTTGAGGATCCTTTTCTAGTCCTGTCACCTTGACATAGTGTCCTGTGGAAGGGCCCTAGACCCCTCTAGATCCCCAGCAACCCATCCTCTCCTTGATTGGAACTCGCCCAGGCTATACCTGTTGCTGAGGGGAGGATGGAGGAGTACAGAAGGTGAGGCTAGCCCAACAACTGTACTCAAAGTGGAGACTCCCCTTCCTTCCCAGTGTCCTCCTCACCTGGAGCCACTGGACCTCAGCCAAGGGCCCTGGAGAGAGCTCGCTGCTCACTGGGCCTGGGATCAGAGCCGCAGGGCTGTGATGGGTCTGCAGTAGCGGCTGCTGGTGCAGTAATGGGCAGAGCAGAAAGAGTCCAGGAGCAGGGCCAGGGACTGGAGCAAGTGGCCCTGAGCTGCTGCTGGCTCTCTTGCTGGCAAAGTGAGCCAGGAATGGGTGGGGAAGGCCAGGGCCCCTTGGTGACATTCCACAGCCATCTCAGAACCCAGGGGCTGCATCGCAGAGGCCTGAGTGGTAGAGGGACACCCGACTGAGTCTCAGCTCTTCTGTCTTGAGCTGTGTGGATTTTTCTTTGTTTTGTTTTGTTTTTGGCTTTTTTTTTTTTTTTTTTTTTTTTTTTGGTTTTTACGAGACAGGGTTTCTCTGTATTGTTTTGGAGGTTGTCAGTCCAGCCTGGCTTCGAACTCACAGAGATCCGCCTGCCTGTGCCTCCCGAGGGCTGGGATTAAAGGCGTGCGCCACCACCGCCTGGCTTTGTTTTGTTTTAAGACAGGGTTTCTCTGTGTAACAGCCCTGACTGTCCTGGAAGCCGCCTAAGTACTCTGAGTCCCTGTTCCATCATCTATAAGACAGGGATAACGGTGTGCATGCTTCATGGGGGTGACTGTGTGACCCCATGGGACAGTCCATGGCGGAGTTGAGGCCAGAGCATCTGCATCCCCCTCTTTGTCCCTTGGCTTTGCCTGGCCTTCAGGAGTTGCCTGCCTGAGCTCTGAGGTCAGGGGGACAGGACCCTGGTGCTCTCAGGACCATGACACTAGCTAGTTAGGCGGAAGGGACGGGCTTGCTTGCTGGGGAGCGAGCAGCCTCGGAGAGGAGCCTGTCTGGGCAAGGAGGAGATGGATCCTGGCGAGCTTCCCGGGATCCTGGCTCAGCAGAAAGGAGGACCTTTCTCTCTGTACTCAGTTTGACCCCAGCCAAGTCAGAGTCACATCCAGGAGGCTCCCACCCCTTGCTGAGCAACAAATAGCCCCAACACTTGAGCATTTTATGTAACTAATTAACTTCAGTTCTGGGGATGGTATCCAAGGTCTTGGCATGCTGGGCAAGCACTCCAGTCTGCCACTGAGCCACACTCCCAGCCCCTATGCACGGTTTTGTTTTAATTAATGAATTAGTTAATTGGTTGTGTGTGTGCCACAGCTCTTGTGTGGAAGTCAGAAGCCAACTGGGCCCATTTTCTCCATCATGTTCCGAGTCCAGGGGATTTAACTCAGGTTGCCAGGGTTGGCAGTAAATGCCCTTACCCACTGAGACATTTTGCTGGTCCCCTGCTTATAGGTTTTTGTTTGATATCTTTTGTGTGTGGGGGGGTGGGGGTTGTTGTTGTTGTTTGAGACAGGGTTTCTCAGTGTAACCCTGGCTGTCCTGGAACTCACTCTGTAGACCAGGCTGGCCTTGAACTCACAGAGATCCACCTGCCTCTGCCTCCTGAGTTTGTACCACCAACCACCCAGTTAGCCCTACTCCCTGCTTATAGTTTGAAGCCACAGACTTTTAGCATCTCATGGTGTCAATGGAGCAAGAGGGAGTCTGGTAGCTTATAGGCCTCTCTGTTTCCTTTTTCCCCACGAGGCTGCAGTGAGGGGTCACCCAGGGCTGGAACTACATCTGAAAGCTCTGTGTAGGGCAGACTCCCACTTCTAAGCTCCCCTGTGGGGGTGCTGGTAAGTCTCACCACAGGGCATCTCTGCAGAACTCACTCGAACAAGGTGAGTGATCCAGGAGGCAGTGAGAGTGTGTGCCCAAACCAGAAACTCCTTTCTCTTTACAACCTAATCCCAGGAATGACTGACTCTCTCTCCCCCATTCCCTTTCAGTGTGTGTGTGTGTGTGTGTGTGTGTGTGTGTGTGTGTGTGTGTGAATATGCCAATGGCAACCACGTGGAGGTCAGAAGGATTCAGGGAACTGAACTCAGGCATTCAACCTCGGCAGCAAGTACTTTTACTTGCTGAATCAGCTTGCTGGCTCATTGGCGGCCATTCTCAGCATCGTCTATGTCCGCCAGTTGCAGTAATGAACTGTTAGATGGGATTTGATTGTCTTAGAAAACTGGGGTCGAGCCGGGCGTTGGTGGTGCACACCTTTAATCCCAGCACTAGCTAGGCAGAGGCAGGATCTCTGTGAGTTCGAGGCCAGCCTGGTCGACAGAGCGAGTTCCAGGACAGTCTCCAAAACGATACAGAGAAACCCTGTCTTGAAAAACAAAAAACAAACAAACAAATCTTACAATTTTCAGAGTGAAACCAGAAACCTGCACTTTTTAAAAAGGTTATTTTTAATCATGTAAGCATCTGTGTATTTGTGAGCATGCTGGTGTCCTCAGCAGCGAGAGGCATCGGACCCCCTGAAGCTGCAGTTAGAGGCAGTTGTGAACCACCTGATGTGGGTGCTGGGAATGGAACCCTGGCCTCTGGAAGAGTGATGCATGTTCTTACTGCTGAGACACCTCTCCAGCCCCTGGAAGTTGAGGCTTAGTTTGTTATTGTTTTAGACAGGGTGTCCTGTGGTCCAGACTCACCTCCAGTTTACTTTGTATCTGACTTCGGGTAACTTTGAACTCTCAGATCCTCCTACGTCCACCTTTCCAGTGCTGGGATTGTAGTCCTGAGACACTGTGCCCGGATTGTACAATACTGGGGATCAAACCCAGGCCTTCATGCAAGACAAAGCATTCTTCCAACTGAGCTATACCCCTAGCCCCTAGATTTTTAAAACTCTTGACTTCTTCTAATGCCTAAACATTATCAAACTCTTCAACAAAAAGAAAATTTGAGGCTGGGAATGGCATCCATTGGGGAAGTATGTGTTTAGCATGGGTGGCCTTCTGGGTTCATGTTCCAACACCAAGAAAAACAAAACAAAGCAAGACAAGCAAACAAACAAAAGTGCCCCAAACTACCTGGATGCAAAGCCTGGTGACCAAAAAGCACTTTAGCTAGCAGACAGTATAGAGCAAAGGGCTGGCTCAGCAGGGTGCAGGGGAGAGGCTGGGGGATTCTCTAGTGGCTCTTGGTCTGTCTGGCCCCAGGACAGCAGTTTCTCCATGAACGGTATCAGAGGTTCTGCAGCAGGAAGACACTTTGGGCCAAGGCTCTGCAGAAGCTGTGTTTGGGGCTGGCATCAGGCAGTAGCTTGAACTGGGACACTGACATCTTCAGACCTGGGGGCTTGTTGGGTGGGAGGACTCTTTCCCCTCTTCCCCCCCTCCCCACACCTAGGAAAGGTGGGGAGCCCAGGGCATAAAAAGCCCTGGGATTCTGACTGGAGGCCTGGGACTTAGGTGAGGTGAGGTGGGGACCTGAAGAGAATTGTTCTAAGCCAGAGGTGATGGCCAGCAGCCTCTCCTTAATTTGGGGTTGGTTCACAGTCTATTTCCTCACCAGACCAGTCCTGTGACTTCACAGGCCAGTGAAGGCAACAGAGGTATTTTCTTCATCTGTGGGGAGGTCCAGGTCCACGATCCTCTTACAGTGGCCAGAACAGGGTAAAGTCATGTAGCCCAGGCTGCCTCCACCATGTAACCAAGAATAACTTTGACTCTTGATCCTCTTGTCTCTGTATCAGGGGTGCTGGGCTTATGGGCGTATGCCGCTACGCTGAGCGTATTTAGTGCTAGAAACTGAACTTAAGGCGTTGTGTATGTGAGAAAGCACTTCACCGATTGAGTTAGATCCCCAGTTCTTAGTTTTTTCAAGCCCAGGCTAGCCCCGGAGATTACAGGCATATCAGCAGGTGTCACTTTGAATAAACACAACACCCAGCTGGGAGCTGACCTGTGACCCACCCTCCCCTTTGCAGCTATTTCCAGGCCTGGTGTGAACGAGTAAGGGACATAGGAGTGTCCCAGGACCATCGTCAAGCCATCCAGGATGACCTGGGAGGAGACCTGGGGGCCACACTTGCTAACTCACAGGAGGCCTGCAGAGCAGGGCCCCAGACACAGGATAGGTGGATGACCCAGGCCTCTGTCCTGGGCTGGAGAAGCTTTCTGCAAGAGTGTGGAGCTGCCGGGCCGCCGCCGAGGAGGGCCCAGGCCCGGCAGGCTTTTGTGGTATGGCGAGTCGCCCTAGGGCAGTACCGTGAGGCCCAGCAACAGGCAGGAAGGAGAGCTCAAGTCCTGAGCCCAGTCCAGGTGGCCCTGTGCTGGGTCCTGTGGATGCATGATTCCTACCTAGGCCAGGTCCACCAAGCTCACGCTGCCCAGCAGCTGACATCCAGGTGAGTGTCCAAGGCCGGAGCGCAACCTCACATGTGCTGCCAGCTCAGTTTTTGAACTTGGTTTTGGCAAGGGTAGAGCATATTGGGTGTCTGAGTGGTGCCTACTGAGTGTCTGGGTGGCAGGGGGGCTGAGACATCCTGATCTTTGGAGTGGATCCCAATTCCATCACCTTTTAGAGTGAGCCATCCTTGGAAAAGCTTCCGACGTTTATGGCCTTGCCTTGCAGCCCTGAGTGTGATAACACAACTGGGGGCAGTGCACTGGCATCTTGCCAGGGGAGGCGGGCAGCGTGTAGCTGTTAGGACTGCCCCTTTAGACAGGATGCTTGCCCCTGATGTGTGTGATGTTCTACCCACTTCTGAGACTTTCCGTGCACATTTCATGGATTAGCCCGCATAGAGATGGGAGGGGGCCCAGGCCTGGACATTTGTCTTTTGCAGAGCCCTAGAATCCTACCTCTGATGGGCACCTTCTTCTCCAGGGTCCTAGAGGTCTGGATGCAGTTAGCAGCCCAGGCTCATGTCCATCGAGCTGATGTCACCCACTGCTGGTGGAGGCTTCAGTGTCTCCTTAGGACCCGCTGGGTTCAGTGGCCGTCAACCCCATTGAGATGGAGGCTGGAGCCACAGACCCAGGCACAGGGCATGGACTTCAGGTACTGGCTGACGTTGGCCAGCAGAGGGTGCCTCCTGCAACTGGACACCCCAAACTTTTTGATACAGGTGAGGTGGGCCTTGGGGTGTGTCACTTCCCCAGTCTTAAAATCAGATGGTTTCTGCACCTGATGGGATTGTGGCTCTAGGGGCAAACAAACTTCCAGACACCACTCGACCCGGCTCTGGGTGGCCAGCGAGATGGTAGAGGCAGGAGAACCCACCAGCAAACCTCTTGAGTGACAGCCCTGTGCAAGTCTGGTTACAAAGGGTCTTTGTCTGTTGAGGAAACGGACACAGATTTTTTTAAAAGTGTTTGTGGCTGAGCATATTAGTACATGACTTCAGTCCCAGCACCAGGAAAGCAGAGGCAGACAGATGTCTGTGAGCTGGAAGCTAGCCAGGGCTGCATTATTTGAAAAAAGACAAATAATTTTAAAAAGGTAAAGGTGCTTGCCATGCCAGCCCAATGACTTGATTTGATCCTCAGGACTGATGTAAGAGAGGGAGAGACAATAAACTCCCCAAATTGTTCTCTGGTCTCCACAAGTGTACCAAAGCATGCACGCCCTCCCCATACTTACCACACACATTAATCTCCCCCCTCTCCCAGACAGGGTTTCTCTGTGTAGCTTTGTCAACGACAAGGCTGGCCTCTAACTCACAGAGATCTGCCTGCCTCTGCCTCCAGAGTGCTGGGATTAAAGGTGGTAGCCACCACCGCCCGATCCTTTTTTTTTTTTTTTTAAAGAGTGGTATGCAGAGAACTTGGAGGCTTGCCCATGCTAGGTAAGTGTACCACCAAGCTACTTCACCAGATCTTAAATTCAGTTACAGCAGTCTGGGGCTGGAGAGATGGTTCCATGGTAAAGAGTACTAGCTGCTCTTCTAGAGGACCTGAGTTAGGGTCCCAGCACCCACATCCATGACATACAATATGGAGACAGCAGCAATTTTACTTTTATTGGAAGAAATGAAATGTGCCCATTACAGAAAATGAAGTAGAAAGTAGTGTTTTTGCTTTACATTTTTTGTACCAAAATGCGACTCAGAAGTTCTCAGCTCTGACAATGAACGAGGCTTATGACCTGTCAAGAGGATATCACAGATGCACGGGGCAAGAAACAGCCTGGAGATGCAGCTGAGGGACCCAGCCCACGATCCTGACAGGCCAGGCGGTGTTCCTAAAGACAACTTGGCATCACCAAGAGTTCTGCTTCAGACTGCCAGACAGAACAGAACTGACTTTAGAAAGCGCCTAAGGAAGCCAGGCAGTGGTGGCCCACACCTTTAATCCCAGTGCTCAGGAGGCAGAGGGAGGTGTATCTCTGTGAGTTCAAGACCAGCCTGGTCTAGGAAAGCCAGGGCTGTTACACAGAGAAACGCTGTCTCTGAAAACAAAAAAGGAAGTCACCAAAGTGTCTTTTGCTTTTTAAGCAATTGCAATAGTGTTGTTGGGTTTCAGAACTCCCAGGTATGCATGGAACTAGGGCAACAACAGATTATGGGGTCTCGTGCTGTTTTACTTCTAGATGTTAAGGGCTTTGTAGACCCAGCTGGTATAGTTCAGGTTGCGTCAACTCAGCCACCCTTTAAAAGTTCACACTTCATTCTCCTGTCAGCAAAGGCTCTCATATACTGTGTGCTCTCACTACTGGGCCTTGAAGACACTGAGGATGGTGCCCAAGTCCTGCTCTTTACCACAGGTGTGCGTGTGTGCACCATTTGCAGGCGGTGAGCCATCCCGTAGTGGGAGGGGTCACCCATACAGGTTGTCTTATTTGGGAACTCAGACCTTGGAGTCAGGCCATATCTGAGGGGCAAGGCTTCAGCAGTGTCCAAGCTTCAGCCAGGAACATAACTTAGGTCTTGGGGACAGCCTGAGCTCTGTCACAGGGCAGCCATTGTTGGGCCAGTCTCTGCTCAGATGTCTTCAGACTCTGGGTGTCAGGTGGAACACCCCACGATGCACACAGGTGGGAGCCTGCTGGCAGGGGACAGGCGGGAATCCCTCCTGGTCAGGCTCAAGCCCACTGCATCTGATCCTGGCTCCCCTGCTGTTCCCTCAGATCCACGGCTGCGGGACACACAATGTGCTGTCCTGCCCGGCATGGCAGCATGGAAGAGGCATACAGAGGACCACGTCCTGTGTTCTGAGTAAGGAGCCGCGTCCCTGGGTCCAGCCCTCAGCCCTGTGAACCCCGCCCCTGTTCACAGCTCCTTGAATCTCTTTTACTCCCATTGGCTCCTTGGCCATAACCTGGAGACCCAAGGGTGGCCACTGCTCTCCCAAACCAAGGCATTACTCTCTCTTGACCCAATTCTCCTCTCCAGGTGACACAGAGAGGCCCCTCCACCTAACCTTCCAGTTCTGGCTGCCACTGCCTGCACGGGCACGGCCCTCAACAGGACTAGAACTCTGCAGCTCTGGGGCCAGGGCCATCCAGGGCTACAGAGAAGCTCTTCAAAGGTGGCAGGATCAGCTGTGCATGTGACATCTTGGGGGTGGGGGTGTCCTCTCAGGCCCTGGGGCTCCTGCTCTTCCCCCTGCAGAGGTTGTGATGTTCTTGGCCTGCAGGAATAGGCACCTACAGTGTCGGCATATCCAGGCTTCCCAGCAGGCCAGGTGTCTGGCAAGGGCATGGCAGCGCTGGGTAGACGTTCACTGGGTGGAGCAGCTGTCTCGGAGTCTGGTGGGTAGGCTTAGTTCGTCCTCTCTACCCTGCAGAGGCCCTGGGAGCAACTTCTCTCATTCATCTCATTCCTTGGTCCAAAGCCTTGGGGACGGCACTCAGGAGCCTTTGTCTGTCTGCCAACATTTCTTAGATGACGGCCCCTTGTCACCTCCCTTCCACCCTGGGGTGGCAGAAGTAGAAGGGCCAGGGCTGCCAGGACAGCGAGATGTAGTCTCCTGTACCAACTCCCTCTGCAGCACAGACAACGGCACCTGGAACAGGCCTGGAGGACATGGCGGAAAAAGGTCCTTCAGCTGCAGGTGGCTCAGCGGCTGTACCAGCAAGAAGAGAGCCGGGTCCTCTCCCAGGTGGCCCTACCCCTCCTGGCCAGCCTTCCAAAACCAGTGTCACCTTTGGGCTGAGCCAGGGAGAGGGGAGGGGTTGTCCCTGCTCAGCACCCTGAGGGCTCCTCATTCAGTAAGTTGGTCAGTGGTTACAGAGCTCACAGCCTGGACATGAGAGACCAGTGTCACAGTCACTCACTCTGAGAACCAGGCTGTTTGTGGCACTGGCTGCCCATACTGGTCTCTGTAGGGCCTGGGTCAAGCAAGGCTTCTCATTTGCAGGTCACTGAGCACAGCTTCCCAGGTCACAAGTCCGGTCTATACAGGGCCTGTATGATTGGGCAGAGGAAAGGGCCTCTGGTTGGGACAGTGCGTAGCTCAGGTGTGAGTCTTGACAGGCCTAGTCAGGCCCTGGTGGGAGCCTGAGACAAATGACATTTCTTGTCCCTCCCTGCTTCTAGGCCTTTGAAAAGTGGTACCAGCGCCTGGTAGCCAGGAGCCCACTAGAGGAACTAGCAGCAGCCTGTGTCCTGGAAACCTTGACCGTGGCCCGGACATAGCAGGTGTGGGGCAGAGCAGGACCCAGCAGCAGTTTTGCTATGGAATCTTCCCGAGACATGAACAGAACAGAACCAAGCCTAGCCCCCTGGGAGAAGGAACAGGCCCACAGCTGGAGGGGTCAGCTCCCAGAGCTCAGGGGAGGGGGCAATAAAAGGACCCCTTCATCCTGACTGCTTCTGCTCAGTCCCTCCAAGGCCGTTTGCCACTGCGGTCACCTGGGCCTGGGAGACAAGGGAGAGGGAATTCGCTGCTCTGCCCACGTTGCTCTATGGACAACTTCCTCCCCCTCTCTGACTCAAACAAGACCGGCAGGCTGGGAGCCAGGCCTCAGGAGCAGCCATCTGTACCTGCCAGTCACTACCCCAGGCAGTGAGGCCTGAGGGCTGGCCTGATGAGGAATGCCAGGGACAGCTTCTAGGCTAGGCTGAACAGGGAGGAGGCGGCTGGCAGGGGTGGGCTATGGGTGTAGCTGGGCCCTGCTCAGGTCAATCTTATCTCAGGGGCTTGAGCACGAGCCTCCTAAACGGGGCATCTCAGGTCCAGCCAGAGCCCGGATGCCTCCTGCGGTCTAGCTGTCATGGTGTGGAGAGATGAGGGAGGGGGCTCAGGAGGGTTACGGGGCCTGGGCCTCGCCCCTCGTGCTGTGCCCGTTGAGCAGCTCGAATGTGTCTTCTACCACCTGCCACAGGCAGTTGTCCAGCAGGAACTCGTTGTCCACCAGGTTGACCAGGAAGTAGTTGTCATGGATGTACTGGATAATCATGCGGGATGGGGACTCCTCCTCATACAGTTTGCCCCACTGCTCGATCCACAGGGCAAAGGCCTCGTCCTACACGTGGACACAAATACACATGTGCAGGGTCAACAGGGCGACCACACCCAGGTCTGGGCTCCTGCTGTCTCCCTGCAGGTCACCCAGAGAAGGGCAAGGCAGTGCCCCTCTGGAAATAAAAGCACCATGTGCTAACTCGAAGCCTCCCAGGTTCTGGGGTGTGGCTTTCAGCCCTGTGTTTCAGACCCGTTTGCCCAGTGCTCTCAAGGCAGGCAGGGCACACACCCTCCCACTCACTCACTCACCTTCCAGAACATAAAGCTGATGGGATCCACCACAGTAGGCTGGATGATCTCTCGACCAGGGAAGATGCCCCACGTGACAGCATTGGGCTGCAGCTCGGGGGCATTAGTGATGTTCTTTCCCTGGGGACACAGACAGGGCAGCTTGAGCCCCACTACTGGCAGACCTCACCCAGCCTTATACTGCCCCCCTGGTTTGTCACCACGAACAGCATCAGCCTCTACTTGAACCACAGACCTACAGCCATCCTGGGCAGCTCCCCTCTGCCTCCACTGCCCGACTAGACTTCTAGTCTGTGACAAGGGTTTGCTTATAATCCAGAGTGGCTTTGAACTTCTGATCCTCCAGCAATTAGCTGCTCAAATGCTGGTGTGATGCCACACCCGGCTCTTCTGCTGTTTCTCATCCAGGCCACAAGGGCCCCCAACTATGTTCCCTGCCCCTTGCTACCCTCACAGTTGCATGCTGTGATCTCTGTAGACGGGCTAAGGCACTCTGCCACTTGAACAAAGGCTGCCTGGCTTTTAGGCAGTCTCCAGGGCTCCTGGTCCTGGTGCAACACCACCACGTCCTATTTGCAGTTTCTCCACAGGCAGTGCCGTGCCTTTCCTTCTGCCCTTTCCCCGGAATGCCCTTCACCCTTTGTTTAGTCTTTGTCCTTAAGAGGGTTCCAGCAAGGGTCTGGGGACATGCCAGCACCCATGTGGAAAGCTGGCATGACTGCATGTGCCTGCCACCCGAGCACTGGATGGGGCAGACAAGAGGACTGCTGCGGCGTGCAGGCTGTCGACATAGCTCTAGGTGCAGTGAGAGACGCTGCTTCAAGGGGACAAAGCCAAGAGCGACGGGGAAGTGCACATGCACACACACAATGGCAAGCACATAGTCCACACAGGATCCCGCCCAGAAACCCTGGTCCTCTCGGGTCTGACACCCCTCCTCTGGACCACCCTGTAGCATCCTACACTGCGTGTGCCTTTCCTGCTTACACAGACTTGTCGTTGTATGTATTCATCTACCTCCCAGTCTGGGAGCTGTCAAGAGGCCTGCCTCCATCTGGTCTGAGCATCTTGTACAATACGCCTGGCCTGCTCGTTTGGGGACTGCCAGAATAAGTGTGGGCGTTCTCAAGCCCCACTGCTGTGCAAGCTGGGAGCTGGGTTACCTGCACATCCACAATGTGGAAGTTGACCCGGAGCTCATACTTCTTCAGCACCTGCAGAAGGGCCTCCACTATCTCCCGGGAGGTGAAGAACTCTAAGTAGGCCTGAGGGAGGAGACATCATCATGTCAAGCCCTGCTCCTTGCCAGCATCCCGCCTTCTGACTGGACCTGCTTACTCTATCTCTCAGTCAGATAGATGCCTATCCTCCTCTAGGGAGAGGACCCCATCTGGACAAGTATAGCAGAGCCTTTGGGGCACCGTGGACCAGGATGAACTGCGGAGGTTGGGTGAAGGCAGAAGGAAATACTTCTCTGTCTGCAGGGGTCCCAAGGTACCAACCACTGGAAGGAAGTGTGTTAGGAGCCGAAGAGACAGTTACTCTGACAAGCTCAGCCCAAGGGAGGAGGCAGGCACAGCCTCCCCAACTATTAGGAGACAATGCTACCAACAGGACTGGGCAAGGCATTTCTGCCTGCAGATTTTTCTAGAATGTTCAGAATACTGCAACGTTGGTAGAGGAAGCCAGGTTTGGGGCTATATCAAGGGAAACCGCAAAGCAGGTACCTAAACCCAGGTCTTCTGAGTCCAAGGCTCAAGGCTTTGTGGCGAAGTGTAATTCAGCCCCTGCAGGTCTCTGGGAAGAGCACTTCACTTCCCAAAACATAAAATGCACCCCTCCGCGACTTTATAGAACTGGTGAGCCCAGGTGACCTGTGTAGGAGTGAACCCCACAAAGCTATCCGCCCAACAGGGTGGGGTCAAGGTAGAGATAAAAGGAAGTGAAAGGAAAAGGGGCTTCCCTTTTCTCCTGGAAGCCAGCCACGCTTCTAACTCCTGGTCTGTGCGACTCTCTCCCTCTCTCTCTGGTAAATAAATATATTGTTTTCCCTATATAGCATCGAATATCGTTATAGACCTGTTACTTGCTCTGCTCCGTAGTTATTCAAAATGCAGGGCTCGGGAGGGAAAAGCCAGGGGCTCTATTGCAGTCTCTGGGGATATCCCAAGCACGGTGAGTAGCTTCAAGCAACCTAGTGTACCTTCTGGAAGACGTAGCCCCCACTGGGGCCCCAGCCCACAACAGGGTCCGAGGACGGCTTCCCATTGATGTTGGGCTGTGAGTTGATGGTGAGGATGCCCAGCCTGTTCACTCGCAGCAGCTCCTCCTTCATCAGGCTGGTTTCCGCTGCCAGGGGGTCATCGTTCCAGGGCAGGCAGGTTACCTGCAGCGCAAGGCGAGCTGAGCTAGGGCAGACGAGTCTGCGCCTGGGTTGTTTCCCCCTTTATAGTCACTGTAGAGACCCAGACTGTCTCTGCCTCCATGGGCTCCTGAGTAGGATTTCTTATCCCTTCCCTCAGCTGAGGTGCACATCCACAAGAGAGGAAACAGCCTAGCTCATGCCCAGCCCAAAGCTGAGACAAGACTGGAGTGGGAGCCCTGGGTACCCCCCCCCCACTCACTGTGTAGCCATGCTGGTTTGGCTCTCCTGAGAGGTAATGTTCAAAGACTTTAAAGACGCTTTCTTCACTCGAGAGCTCCTCACCCCACATCTTCAGCAGCTCCTCCCTGGGGGACTTGCTTTTTAGGTAGAAGAGGTAGTAGTCCTTCAGCTCCCCAAAGGCCGGTGAGGAGGAATTACCCCTGGCGGGAGCATAGGAGTCAGGGCACTTTCCTATAAATCCCACCCCTAAACTCCCCCCAGGCACCAGCAGTTCCTAGCAAGGAGTGGCTGCTGCCCTCACCAGCGGCCATTGGGAAACTCGTCCCAGTCCTGCGTGCGGTAGATGTAGCTTTTTGGCCTGGAGGCCCAGAAGATGGGACGCACATATTCTTCCCGGCGCTTGGGATGTGCGCTGACAGCCCAGGGCAGGGGACGCCTGGTGAGAAGGGTGAGGGAAAGAATTAACTGGAGTGAGCCTGAGGAAGTCACCAAGCCTGGCCACTGCAGTGTCCCTCTGAGCTGGCTTCACTGCGCATGGAAGCTCTGAGGTGGAGGGTGGGACCTGGAGACCCTGTCAGCTGTTGCCCCCCCAGGACCCCCTTCCCATTGTAGGGTTAGCATCGCCCCATTGCTGCTGACTCCCCTGGAATGTCCCTCCAGCTCCCATCTCTCACCTGGGGTCCTCAGTCCACATGCCCAGCTGCTTTAGCACCTCCATGGTGGCCACCTCACGGTTGAGGGTATAGAAGTGGAGGCCCGGGACCAAGCCACTGTCCAGCAGCTCCCGGCACAAGCTCACAGCCAGCTCAATGCCGTAATTGCGGATGGCAGCATCGTTGTCTTTGATTGGCTCAATCACGTCCTTGATCTTCTGTGGTACCTCCAGCTTGGACAGTTTCACAAGCTGCCGAAGGGAGGTGTAGCCCTGTCCAAGACACAAGAGGTGTGGGGCCATCTCCAGCCCGGCTTCCAGCCTATCCCCTTCCTAGTCTCTTGGCTAATTAGTTTCGTGTGGCGAGGCCTGGGAAAGCAGGAGGTACTGCAGGGCAATGCGCGGCCTGCCCTGCTCTCCCTCCTTTGCAGAGTTTGGGGGCTGCCTGCTTCATTCCTGCCATCAGCCTAAGCCAGCCCCTGAGCCCAGCACCGTGGTCTCCTAAGATCCCACCTCTAGAGCACAGGGATTACAGGTGTATACCATCAGGTTCAGCTTAACCAAAATTCCCGCTGAGAGTTGTAATCACTTTTAATGATGTCTGTCAGCAGGCCAAATTGCAAGCCCTGTATAGACACCATTGTTTCTTAGGGGCGACAACCGAGGTGATCAAATGCAGCATGTGGACAATGCCTGATGGGCATAAGTGCCACTGAGGAACAACCTCAGCATGACCCGGAGCCCTGGCCCAGGAGGGTGACTGGAGCGTGGGAACCAGGCCCTCCCGAGTCCCTCACCTGTATGGGAAAGATCCCGGGCAGGATGGGGCAGGAGATGCCGATTTCTGTGCAGGCCTTCACAAAACTGAGGAAGGTGTTGGCCTCAAAGAAGAGCTGGGTGATGATGAAGTCGGCACCTGCAGATACCTTCTCTTTTAAGTGCTTCAGGTCCTCCTCAAAGCTCTCTGCCTCGGGGTGGCCTTTGGGGTAACCTGCCAGTAGAGAAGACAGTGAGGAGACTTCAAGCAGTTAAGAGGGCACAGTCCTCAGCCCAGACACCAGTGCCTGGGGCCCAGCCTCTGCACACATGCCTCCCAGGAGCAATGTGGACAGGTGAATTGTGACTGTCCAAGCTCACTGCTGTGCCACAGAACCTGTAGATGAGCCTCCAGGAGTGGGGTGGACTGTTCCAAATGCTGTACACTCTCCTGTCTCAGGCAAATAAGGCCGGCACTTTGTGGCCACAGAATACCATGTTCAATATTAACACTAACTAGACTGTTTCTAGGGAACCGACTTGACTCGCGCATTGGACCTAAGGCACTAGTTCACGTTTTATTTTGTTTTGGGTTGTGGATTGAACCCAACATCTTATGCATGTTAGGCAAGCATTCAACTACTGAGTCCCATTAAGCTGGGTGGTGTATCGCACGCCTTTAATCCCAGTACTCGGGAGGCTGAGGCAGGCAGATCTCTGTGAGTCTGTGGGCAGCCTGGTCTACAAGAGCAAGCTCCAGGACAGCCAGGACTACCCAAAGAAACCTTGTGTTGAAAAAAAAAACAAAAATCAATAAACAAACATGGATATATCCATTTGCCCTACAGTCTGATTATACAGGGTGTGGGGGATGGGCCAATGGGATGGCCTTGAGCTGAGCATGCAGAAGATGGCTTCCCAGACAGCCCGTTGGTGGCCCTGTGCACGCTCTGACTCCTCCTCTCAATGACCAAACTCACCAGCAGCCTTGCCCAGGCAGAAAGGTGGGGAGGCACCGCTCTGAGGCAACCTCAGGGACAGAGAGGCCCCTCTGCCCGAGTTCCACCGGGAGCAGAGCTAAGCAGAGAGCTGACCTGAGCCATATCTGGAAGCCAAGCTGCTTTACTGTGATAAGGACATTTGGTTCTTAAGAAACCAGTCACTAAGCATAGATACAAAAACTATTGTTCCAAGGCAAAAAGGACCAGGAGACCAGGCACCAGCGTTTCAGCTCACTTTCTGAGGGAAATTCCGAGGCCACACAGCTCAGCAGTTTAAGCATGCTGGCCCATAGTCGGGCTTCGATCACTTTGATGTATCTTTCTGTGTGACCTGCCTGCTAGTTTTAAGTGTGTGTGTGCCGTGTGCGCAGGTGCCCATGAAGGCCAGGGCCGAGCGCTGGATCCCCTGGAGCTGGAGTTACAGGTGTTCGTGAGCCACAGGGTATGGGTGTTGGGGCAGAACTCTGCCTGTCTGCAGGAGCAGCAAGCACTCTTGGCCCGAGTCTCCACTCCAGCCCCAGGTTTGCTACGCATACCCAGTCCCCAAACTGCTGCATCCAGGCCGGTAGCAGCCGTGACAATCGGAACAGCTGGCAATGCCTGCTCCCCCGATTCCTGAGCTGCCTTTCCAGTCTTAGCCAGTTATGCAGCCCGCTGAGAGGAGCACTTGGAGACACTGGGGGGAGGTGGGGGTGCTGGAGAAAGCCCAAAGTCATGCATGAGATTTTCTTGAAGCTGCAAACCTTTTTTAAAAAATGATATTCCGTAAGGCTGAGGAAGGGAAGGCACTTGCTGTGACTCTGACACTCGAGTTTAAATCCTAGAACCGACATGGCGGAAAGAGAACTGGCTCCTGAGAGCTGACCTTCACTCGTGTGCACAGTCACTCACACACTCACACACGCACATAAAGTAAATGCTACCACTCACTGTATTACCCCATAATGTGAGCTCTCATTCATCTATTTATTTTCTTGGTGCTGGGATGGGACCTGGACCCTTACACACACAAGGCAAGCTCTGAAGCTCTGGGTTGCTACGACAAGTTCAAGCTGGCCTTGAACTCATGTCCTCCTCCTCTCCCGTCTCCCCATCCCTTACTGCAAAGATCAGAGCTGAGCCAGAGTGAGTCTCATGTCCTAGAAAATGAGAGGCAACACTGAGAACAGCCAGTGCTGGAGCTGTCTGGAGCTGACCCCCATCCCTTAATCCCTTAGTGTAAGGGTTAGAGCTGAGCTGGCGTGAGCCTCATTTCCTATGACCTGAGAGCTAACACTGAGAACAGTCATGGCTGGAGGCTGTCTGGAGCCGACACTATGCACACACAGAAGCGGACTCATGCACAGGACAGTGTGTCTACGGGGGCCTCGCCCACAGCAGATGCTCAGTGAAGTCAGCCCTGGACCCTGTGGTACAGAGGAAATGAAGAAAGGCTTCGGTTCCAGACTCCTTCCGGGGCCTGATGAGTCCCCTGCCCTTGTCCTTTGTAGCACACGGACGCACACACGCACGCACGCACACATGCACACACGCACGGGAAGGCGGGGCATGGAAGGCAGAGGAGGAAGCACTGGGGTGGGAGTAATGTGCCCGCCTGGGGCAGCAGGTGCAGGACGAGGAGCACAAGAACAGTGCCATTCCGTTCACACGCCCCCCCCCCCCCCCGCTCTGCATCACCCAATCACCATGTCCACAATTGAATACTGGCCGCCTTCCCTCTTATCCTGTCCCTTCTCTGTCCCCACTTACCTGCCACACAGATGTCAAAGTAGTCGCCAAACTCGCTCCGGATGTGCTTCACCAGGTCTGTGGCGTAGTCGAAGCCTCCTTCCTCTGTTTCCCAGTGGTCACCTACAGGGTCTGCAGGGTTGCTGGAGGTCATGGTCACTGGGTGTCCCCTGACCCCCACAGAGTCTTCTTGACCCCTCTACCTTCCCCTACACTTGGCTGTAGGCCCCTCCAAGGCAGAGGCTTCCTACCGTGCAAGTCTAGCCTGGCACCTGGCGAACAGGAGGTGGAGGGCAGTAGGCAAAGGTCTGCTAAGGCTGACGCTGCAGGAGCCCCTGTTGGTGCTGGGACCAGGGAAGGTGTGGCTCTTCACTGAGCCTGGAGTATTGGGGACTCTGGCCTGGCCCTGATGCCCCGGGTGTGTTCAGGCACCCTCTCCCACCCCTCTGCTCTCTCGGAGCTCCTGAATTCTGGGTAGATTTTCTACTCAGCAGGAGTCCCGTGGCGAGTGGGGCCACAGATCCCTCCCACCCATCAGGCTCCCACTTCCCACTGTTGAGTGGCCTGAAGACAGGAAGCACCCAGGTGCTCCTGGGAAATGCCAGCACAGCACACTATGACTAGACCGGACAGTGCCAGAGGCTGATGACATTGTATAATGGGGGCAGAAGGTTATCAGGCACCAGCCACATCCCGACTGAACTGCACACCTGTGTGAAGCCCATAGTGGACTCATTACCCACAATGCTCACTGATCCTCCCGTGGCAAGCGGGCCCAAATGAGTTTATAGTGCAGGGCCCAGGGAAAGTAAAGGACTTTTCTGGGGATGGAAGAAGCCTTCAGGAAAGCAAGAACCCAGAAAGGAGGGAGGGGTGCTGGCGCCACACCTCCCCTCAGTGCCATTATGTTCTTCAGGCCAAGCTGCTTGGCTTTGTGCAGATGGCCTGTAATCTCCTCCTGGCGCTGCTGGCAGCAGGTCATGTGCAGGATGGTTTCCACGCCACAGTAGTTGACGGCTGTGCTGGCAATCATCATGGAGGAGGTCTCCTTGTCTGAGCCAGGGTCTCCAGCGGGGTGCCAGGTAACATCTAGGAAGAGGGGGCCCCCTGCTGCCATCCGGTCAAACCTGTGGGGATTTCCTTCTTAAGTTTGCACGCCCCTGGGGGGACAGCAAACTCATCCATCCTCCCTGGGGATGGGGAGCCGGGGCAGCAGAGAATGCAAGCTGGTGTCAGAGCACTGTGCACACTTCCCCGGGGGCATCGCCTAAGGATCTGTCTGAGCACGACGTCTTTATTTCTAAGATGTGGCAGACGACAGTACCTACTCCACATCCATGAGGATACAGGGTCAGATGGCTGTGCGGCACTCATCGGCCCTGCACTGTGGGATAACAATGCCACTTTCTGCTTCTCAGAGCGCATGCACACTCACTGGGTTGACCTGAGTTTAGAATCTTCACGGCTATGTAGACCAAGTTGGCCTCAGACTCCTAGAAATCTGCCCGCCTCTGCCTCCCAAGTGCTGGGAATGAAGGTGTGCGCCACCATGTTCAGCTCTTGACCAGGCTGACCTCAAACTAAGATCTGCTTGCCTTTGCCTCCTGAATGCTGGGATTACAGGCGTGTTCCCACACCGTTTATGTAGGATCTCTTGCAAGCTACATACTCAATCCATCAACTTTCCTATATCTCCCCCAAGCCCCCCCCCCCCCCGCCCCCAGACAGAGTTTCTCTTTGTAGTTTTGGAGCCTGTCCTGGAACTCCCTCTGTAGACCAGGCTGACCTCCGACTCACAGAAATCTGCCCGCCTCTGCTTCTGGAGCGCTGGGATTAAAGGCGTGTGCCACCACTGAGTGACTCCCCCACCGCCTTTTAAAACAGGGTGTCATTACGCAACCCTGGCTGGCCTGGACTCTAGGTAGCCTAGGCTAGTCATCCTCCTGCCTCTGAGTACCACTATGCCTGATTTTCCTTTCTCTCTTCTTTGTGATCCAAGGGTCTAGCTAAGCACTCTCTGACTTGAAGTGGATCAGAAAGTGCGACCACGAAGCATGCGTTTCCTGTTTTGGAAAAGCGCTCTCACAACGTCCCCGCTAGCTCAACACATTCTCTGAGCTGCTGTTGGTCGGCTTCCTAAACTCCTGGTGAGCCAGCCCCAAGTTCTGCCAAAGAATGCGGCCTGAGAATGAGCATTTTCGGCCCACTGGGGGAGTGCGTCCAAAGATATCTAATGCTGCTTCCCAGGGGGCTTTTGCAGACAAGAAGTTGTAAGCTGCGGACCAAACTCCCTGTCTCGCCTGAGCTCCTTCCTGCCTCCTCTCTCCAGTGCCTTTTCCTGCCGGGTTAAAGGGCAGCTCATGCTACCCTCCGCCGACCCCCTTACTTAACCTCCCTGCTCACCTTGAGATGAGGTTAACAGCTCCCTCAGCAGTCCGAGGAGGGAAGAACTCCAGGGAGAACCACTTGTCACCAGAGTCCATTCTGCGCCTCATCTTCTCCCGGAGTCTCTCGTGCCGCTCCGGGTCCAGGCTGGGCGTGGAACATCTCGAACTGTCCTTGGAGCTCTCGCTGCCGCTGCTGCTGCCCTCGTTCACCATGGCTGGATTCCTGCTGTACAGGGTGGAGGCCGGGGGCATCAGAGGGCTGGTAGCCAAACCCCATGCACACCCAGCGTCTGAGGAGGCAGCTCCAGCGGCGGACACCGCACAGCACGGGAAAGCAGCGGACCACAGGGAGGCTCACACACCTCCAACCCCGAGGCTTCGTGCGTGCGCTTTGCCCCCCTGCTGTCGTCGGGCTCTTTGTGTGACGACCTCCCACTAGGCACTGAGCCGCTCCTGGGTCCTTCAGCTCAGGAATCCTTGGTGACAGCTACCTGATAGAGGGTGGCACAGAGAGCCTCACACAGCCAGCCTCTGAGGCCCACATTCCTAGGGATGGGTAACAGTGGCCAGCTGGGAGGACCTTGGCTTCTCGACGGCTCATCTCAGTCAGCTTAGACCCAGAGTGAGTGGGTTAGAAACAGGGAACCTTTCCTGGAGGGTGTGCCCAAGTGGGCGGAGCTGTGACAAAGAGCCCGGAGCTAAAGCTGGGGCCACGCAAAGGGGCGGGAGTAAGGTTTCTAGGCTGGAGAGAAGGCTCAGGCACAAGTCAAAGAAGCCGGATGAAGGGTGGGGGAGGGGAGAATGTGAGCCGGCAGGGACCGCAGGGGTTGGTGGAGATTAGGCTATTAGGGGTTCAGCGTCACTGGATTTCCCCCTCCAAAGAAAGAGCAGCTCACTGCCGCTGGCCTTGCTTGGAACACGTTATAGGTTTTGTGCAGCATGGCTAGGGAGCCTGATTTCCCAAGTTCACACTACTCCAAAACGACTGCTGTGTTGTGAGCTAGAACCTGACAGGGGCTGGGTTACAAAAGCAAGCAGACTTGCCAGGCGGTGGTTGGCGCATGCCTTTACTCCCAGTACTTAGAGGCAGGCCAGATCTCTGTGAGTTCGAGGCCAGCCAGCGCTACAGAGAGAGTTCCAGGACAGCTAGAGCTGTTACACAGAGAAACCCTGTTTCGAAAAGCCAGACCCCGCCCTCCTCAAAAGAAAAACAAAACCTGGACAGGCTGGGCTGCAAAGGCAGGCAGACTGAAGTCACTAAGGGTAGGGGTGTATGTGCAACTCCGAACAAAGGCTGTCCCATATGTGCCTGCCCTGGCAGCAGCTCTCCCTGAGCACACCAATGAGGTCAAAGGAACCAGTGACCAGAGTGCCACCACATACATGATCCTGGTCACGGCACTCGCAGCCCGGCTAACCGGGCATTGAGCCGTATCTCAGTCTGATCAGGAAATGACAAACACCTGGAAACAAAACCAACACGACTACTGCACAGTGGACATCTGTGTGGTGACACGGAGCAGCGGAGGAGCAGCCAAGGCACTTTCATTCCTTTACAGAAACTTCCAGCCGTTTTGGGTCTTAGCCTCAAGGATCGGGAGAAATCCACGGCTCCTTCCTCTCCTAAGGCACAGAACACAGGTCAAGGAGCCTGTTCCAGACTAAAAACTCTGCCCCTACTCAGTGCCAATGCTACCCCCTATCTACGTATGCCAGTTTTGTTCTGACCTAAACCTGCCAGGTTTTCACACAGATCGAGAAAGAGGCCAACCCTGCATGTCAGCCAAGATCTTTCTTCTAGATCAAAGGGACATACCTCACTCTCACCGAGGAAACAAATCCTGCAGAGCTGACTCGCACACAGCAAATGGCTCCAAGATTTCAGCATTTCTAATACAAGCCATATTTCATACAAGTTTGTTTACCCTCCTGCTGTCGGTCCCCTGCCTGAGACCAGGACCAGGGATCCTGCTCCGGGCATCCCCAGTGCCTGGCAGAATAGTAACAGCCAGTACTCACTGAACCCTAATGGTCTCAAAATGTCCCTCTGCCACCCACTGAGCCCACCACTCCCAAAACTGTTGGGATGGACATATGTGCACAGTAGGGCACTATGGGCACCTGAGCAACAAAGCCAGGAGTCCACCACTCCTTTCCAGATCTGTCGGGGTGGCAGGTTTTAAAACACTGGCAGCCAGGTACGGGGGCGCACACATTTAATCCCAGCTCTGGGGAGGGGGGGGGGGCGACAGGGGCAAGCGAATCTCTGAGTTCCACACCTGGTCCCAGGACAGCCCGGGCTACATAGAGAAACCCGTTTTCGAAAAACAAACCAACTAGATCGATCGATCGATCCGATAGAGAGCTCGACAGACACTATGGCAGGCAACCACCTTGGCGCCGGGTGGCCCGGGGGGGCGGGAATCGGGTCACCTGGTAAATGGGTCACAGGGCTGGACGGGGATGCGGGTCCCAGACGGCTCCGGAGGCTGGATCACTGACCCAGACCCGGGATTCTTAACCTTGGGATACCTTCGTGCAGGTAGGGAGTCTGGGGTGACAGCCACTAGGGGTTCCTTAGGCTGGAGGAGCGACCGGAGCCTTCAAGTGCAGAGGCAGGACGGGCCAGCCCCCAGCTGCCCGCCCACGAGGAGGCCTCGCCATCGGTGGGTGGCGAGTTGACACATTCTGGATTCGGCGAATTCCTCCACGGCGTCCCAAGCCTCTGAGCCACTCACCGTCCAGTCAGAACCTCGGCGGTTGCGGCTGCATCTCCCTAGCACTTGCGGAGGAGGCGGGGCGCGGCTGCCGGTTGCCAAGGGTAACAGGACAAGTGGCAGTCGGAAGCCATCAAAGGCGGTGGTGACAGGAAGTCCCGCCCCCAACATGGCCGCGCCCGGAGAGCTCCCGGGAAGCCGGCCCAGGACTGCGTCATGTGACGCGAGCTCTCGCCCCACCCGCCTGCAGCCACTCCCTGTCTCCCGTCCCGAAGCTCCAGAGGGCCACGTGACCCCCCCGGGGCCAGTCACGTGAGGCGCAGATCCTGGGTGGGAGGGGGGGTGCTGGCTGAGGGGGCCCGGAGTGGCAGGAGAGGAGGAAGATGGCGGGATGCAGGGGGTCCGTGTGCTGCTGCTGCCGGTGGTGCTGCTGCTGCGGTGAACGCGAGAGCCGCACCCCCGAGGAGCTGGTGAGCGGCGGCGGGGCTGGGGAGGGGGCAGTTGCTAAGGGATGACAAGAGGCGTTGCCGGGGGGTGGGGCCGAGCCGAACTGCGCCGGCAGGTGGCTGCGGGTGGGGCCCGGGGACCGCTGCCTCGGCTCTGCGAGCATCCGCCTTTCTTCGCGTGCCCGAGTCAGAGTTCTTGTCTCGCAGCCTCTTTCTGGAGTCTGAGGCAGGATCTCGGCCAGCCTGGGTCAATGCCATGCGGCGTGTTTCCTTTTATTTGCTCCGGAAAGGAGTTTTGAATGAAGCAAGCTTTTTCAGGATGAGCCCTTTCGCGAGACTTGATGATGCCCGCGCAGCTAGCTGGTTTAGTTTCTCCAGCCTTTCTCCTGTCCTTCGCTCCTTCTGGGTCACACTGATGACCCAGCTTCCCCCTGCAAAGCAACCTGGGAAAACTTGAGTTGTACTCTCAGAGTTGACACGTACCCCCTGATTTCATATTCGGTCTATTGTCAAATGAAACCCTAATTTTCTCCTCACTAAGCCGTCACCAGACATCTTTCAGGTGTCCTGAAGGTGAGCGTTATGACTGAGGGAATGTGTCAAGCAATAGATCTCTGCTAGTGACCAAATACCCATCCCAAATGTGGCTTTGAAATTTTGTTCCTCTTTGGTTAGATTTTAGAATTACTTCCCTCCTTCCACCCTTTACTGGCAAAAAGGTCTCCATTCTGTGAATCTCTCTCTCTCTTTTTTTCTCTAGACCATCCTTGGGGAGACACAGGAAGAGGAGGATGAGATCCTTCCAAGGAAAGACTATGAGGTGAGGTATTCGAATGCTGTCTTGTGTATCTGAAGGAGTGAGAGGCCTGGCCACTTCAGACCTCCAAACAGAGAAGCTTTTTGACCTTCTGCCCCAAGGTGGGGGTGGGCGATGACAGATCTGAGAAATGCTGACTAGCAAGTCCTTTTCTCTTCTTTTTTTTTTTTTTTTTTTTTTTTTTTTTGGTTTTTCGAGACAGGGTTTCTCTGTGGCTTTGGAGGCTGTCCTGGAACTCGCTCTGTAGACCAGGCTGGTCTCGAACTCACAGAGATCCGCCTGCCTCTGCCTCCCGAGTGCTGGGATTAAAGGCGTGCGCCACCAACGCCCGGCTAAGTCCTTTTCTCATCTTAACCCCTACACAAGGTCGGTGTTGATGCACTACAGCTCTGCCTGGATGCAGAGCGTGTTTGCCATCTAACGCTTATCCCAGGGCCCACGCTCTTTGCTGTGAGTGCCCATAACAGGGTCCTGCTCCTGAGTTGTTAGGAGGCCTTGCTTCTCCATTCTGACCTTTTGGGTTTTTTTGGTTTTTCAAACAGGGTTTCTCTGTGTAGCCCTGGCTGTCCTGGAACTCCCTCTGTAGACCAGGCTGTCCTGGAACTCACAGAGATCCTCCTGCCTCTGCCTCCCGAGTGCTGGGATTAAAGGCATGCACCACCACCTGGCTCATTCTAACCTATTGACTATAGTTTCCTCTCGGGTATGGGACTTTTAAGAGTGTGGGGCCACAGTGTGGTGGTGCTCCTTAAGTCCAGCACTGGACTTGGGAGGCCGAGAGAGGAAGACCCCCTCTGGGAACCCATGAAGGCTCTGTCAACCCTATCCTTGCCAAGATTCTGTCACTCCTATTTGTAGCTCACTTGCCTTAGGCTGATAGCATGATTATGTGAGTTTCGTGGGTGAAAGTTTTTTTTTCAGGGGAATCTTCATTATTTCCCATTTAGCCGTCTCTGTGTATGAACTTGAGGAGAGCAGTTTATGTTCAAAAGAACAAATCCATCTGACACTTAATCAGGAAAGTCTGCTCAGCTTGCATCTAAGGGTCAACTAGAAAATCCTTCTGTTGAAGTGTTGGGCATAGTGGCACATTTCTGTCAACCCAGAAAAGAAAAAGACAAGAATCCATAACTCTCTGTTGAGTATATACATATTCAATAATATACACATATATGTATATATATATAAGTTTGAGACAGCGTTGCATATAGCCCAGGCTGGCCTCATACTTTTTATTTATAACCATAAACAGCAAGACACCCATACAAAGCTTACTGGAAAAAAGATGCTAGGGAACAAGAGAAGATAATGGGGGAATGAATACCATTAAAATATATTATGTACATGAATGAAAATAATTAAAACAAAACTCTGAAGGTTTCAACTGTGGAGGAGGGGGTGGGGAAGTTTCTCATTCCCCAAACCAAAGAACAATGTATATAGCAGAAACAGAAGGGCAGTCCCAGCAGAGGGAAACAGTATCTGATGGACAAGGCCGTAGATTCCCTGGCACATGTGCACTAGGTGAGGTTCCCTGGTGTTGCCCTTGTTTCTAACTGCTCGACTGCAGTGTTCAGGCACAGATTATGTAGTTCATCCAGTTAAAGTAGATCATTCCATCGGGTCTTGTTGACACACGCCTTCAGTCCCAGAGGCAGCAGCAGGTGGATCTCTGAGTTTGAGGCCAGCCTGGTCTACAGAGTGAGTTCCAGGGTGGCCAGGGCTGTTGCACAGAGAAACCCTGTCTCTAAAAACCAAACCAAACAAAACAAAACAAAAAAAGTATATTATCCATGTGGTTCTTAGTGTATCTACAGAAGTATGCAATTGTCACCAGTCAATTTTAGAGCATTTTCTTCACTCCAGAAGGAAATTCACACTTACTAACAATCCTTGAAGATCATTCCTCTTGACTCTGACTCTGGGCAGCTTTTTTATTTATTTGGGAATGGGGAGGTGTGACACTTTTTTTTTTTATTTTAAAGTTTATTATTAGGGGCTGGAGAGATGGTGCAGCAGTTAAGAGCACTTTTCCAGGGATCATGGGTTTGATTCCCAGCACCCACATGGTGGCTCACAACAGTCTGTAGCTCCAGTTCCAGGGGAATCTTATGTTCCCTTCTGGCTTCTGTGGAAAGTAGGTATGCATGTGGTATACATATATACATGCAGGCAAAACACTCATATATGTAAAAAATCCAATGTTATCGTCGAGAGGAGGTGTTGTGTTTTGAGGATCATGTATGGAGGAGGTCAGAGAACATCACTGTGGACTCAATTTTTCGTGTGTTACTCACTGAGCCTTCTAGGCAGTTTCTTTTTTGAGACAGGATTTCTCTGTGTAGCCTTGGTTGTCCTGGAACTCACTCTGTAGACCAGGCTAGCCTTAAGCTCAGAGATCTGCCTGTCTCTGCCTTCTGAGTACTGGGATCAAAGGCGTGCACCACCACCACCGGACCAGCTTTTTTTAATCTTTATTTGTAAAGGCAGGGTCACTAAGCAGCCTTAGACAGCCTCCAGTCCAGCCATCTATTTGCATTAATTAGTACCACACCCAGCTCATGCAGCCGTTCATCTTTCTACCTCTGTAGATAGGTTTTTTCTAGACAGCTGAAACTTGGGACAGCCCATTCCCTTTCCTCCCTGGAGGGAAATAGACCGGCTCTGGCTGGATTAAAAGGAGAAAGGCAGGTCCAAATTGTGAGCTAGGCACAGCAGGAGAGAAAGATAAGATAGCCTTCTCCTCTTCAGGGGAGGGGGAAAGATGGGTTTTAGAGAGGCACCTCAGAAGAGAGTACTTGACTTTAATTTGTTTTAAATTTGACGTTTAAAATAGAGGCATCTATTGGATTTTCTGGGAGACGGATGAGTGAGTTTAAAGGACAGACAAACTTTGTCCCAAGCTGTCTGCTAGATCTTGGTCCTGCCTTGTGATTCAGTCTCCATCATCTCCCCCTGCTGACAAGTCTGGAGAGGGATTCCCAGCATTTGGCTTATCTTGTGGTGCATCCTGCCCTTAGGTAGACAGGCTTCAGAGAAAGCACTTCCTCATACTATAATCCAACTCTGCTTCAGTTTTGGCTCCAGATAACGAGGCTTATTTACACACAGGGAGTTCTCCCGAAGAAAGTGGCTGGCTGTGTGGAGGTGGTAGCAACAGATCCTGCAGGTTGGGGGGTCACATCACTGCCTCTCTTTGAATGTCTGTTGAAAGTGGTAGGATTCTCAGGACTTGGGAGGCAGAGGAAGGTGCATCTCTGTGAGTTTGAGGCCAGCCTGGTCTGCATAGTGAGTTCCAGGAAAGCCAGACCTACATAGTAAGACCCTGCCTCAAAAATAAATAAAGAAATTGAAAAGAAAACATAGAAAAAGAAAAGAAAGTGACGGGTTGTCCTGCTGCCTGGGGCTGATTATTTTTGTGGAGTCACTCTCAGAACTCAGGACAACTTGTTTATTAACAAGGGTATAATAAAGGGTATAGATGTCCAGGCAGGTAGAGGGGTGTAGGAGCCACCCTTCCAGCAACCTCATGGTGCATAGGTTGACTGATGGTGTCCTTGATGGCATCGCATCCTTGGTGGCATCCTTGGCCATTGGTGAGCAGCTTTGTCTTCAGCCCTTCTCCTGGCGGTCAGAGGTTACAAATGAAAGTTTCTCTCCCCTCCTTTTCTTTTTCTCTTTGAGACACAGTGTCCCAGGGCCTGGGAATATATCTCAGGGGTAGAACACTTTTCTAGCATATGCAAAGTCCTGGGTTTGATCCCAGTACAACAAAAGGAGGAAGAAGGATAGGGAGAAAGATAGAAAACTAAGCAAAACCTTGACTGGGCTTGCCATGTAGCTCAGACTGGCATTAAACTCTTCAGAGTGTGGTATTATAGGTGTGTGCCTGGATGCAAGTTGAACTTTGTAGTCATGTCAGTCTGTGGTGGTCAGCCACATCCTGGCTCTCTTTAGGGCACAGCTCCTAGCCCAGTCATTGTGATAGCATACAGAAGGCATTCTTAACATACTAGAGATCCAAGCGTCTGAAGGAGTTGGTTTGCAGGTGATAGGAGAAAGACCGTTTTATGCATTTCACTGTGGCATAAAAAGAGACTGATATATTGTAGCGTCTTGATTTTCCTGTTTGTTCCTAGAAAGTAGTTACTCTAATTGACTTTCCTAAAGAGTGTATGTGGTGGTTTGAATGTAGTTGTCTCCCATAAGCTCATGGAAAATGTCACTGTTGGGAGGTGTGGCTTTGTTGGAGTAGGTATGGCCTTGTTGGAGGAAGTGTGCCACTGTGGAGGTGGGCTTTGAGGTCTCATATATGCTCAAGTCACCACGTCCTGTAGCCTGCAAGATACAGGACACTAGCTGCTTCTCCAGCACCATGTCTGCCAGCATACCACCATGTCCCACCATGATGGCAATGGACTAAACTTCTGAGCTATGTGAGCCACCCCAGTTAAATGTTTTCCTTTGTAAGAGTTGTGGTCATGGTGACTCTTCACAGCAAGACACTTAAGACAGTGTGTGTGTGTGTATGTGCGTGAAGCTGTATATATGTTTAGTCTCTTGTGAATTAATTCCCTTTCCTTGCAGATTTCTTCCTGACTTGTGCTTATTTGTTAACCAGAAAAGGGTTATTTTTTAAAGATTTTGTTAATGTATGTGTGTTTGTGTATGGCTAGGCACACATGAATGCAGGTGCTTGCTGTGGCCAGAAGAGGGCGTCAGGTCCCCTAGAACTGGAGTTACTAGTAGTTGTGAGCCACCGTGTGCGTGCTGAGAATCAGACTCGAGTCTTCTGGAAGAGCAGCAAGTACTCTTAGCAGCTGAGCCATCTCTCCAAATCCCAGTGATTTTCTTATTAAACATAAGAACCAATCATAGGCCTGGAGTTTACAAGGTAGAATGATTGTGTAGCGTGCATCAAGACCTAGACTCCGACCCCAGCACAAACCAGGCATGGCGTGCACACCTGTGGTCCCAACTCTTGGCACATAGAGGCAGGAGGATAGAAGTTCAGGGTCATCTTTGGCTACATAGTAAGTCTGACGCCATCCTGGGCTGGGCTGCATGAGATATCCTGTCTTAAGAGGAAAAAAACAAACAAAACAAAAACCTAAAGGTGCACACCAAAAGAGAATTTCTATACCCAGATGTGAATGTCCAAAACACTACTTTCAGATCTTTTCCCATTACCTATGTCTGATTTTGTTAAGTCAAAATGCAATTGTGTTATACATTTTAGATTTTGTTTTTGTGGTACCGGGTAACCTCTCTATGTAGCTCCAGGCTACATCCCTGGCCTTTGATTATATATTTTATTCTGCATCTTGCTTTTTTGTTGAGTTTTTTTGACAAAGTCTACTTTGTAGCCCCAACTGGACTAGAACTCACAATGTAAATCAGGCTTGCCTCTATCTTTCAAGTGCTGGAATTAAAGGCTTGTGCCACCACATGTGACTTGTATCTTGCTTTAAAACATTTTTTTTTAATTATGTGTATGGAGCTGGAGAGCTGGCTCAATGGTTGCTGTTACAGAAGACATGAGTTCTGTTCTCAGCACCCTCTTGATGGTTCACACCATCTGAAACTCTAGTTCCAGGGGATCCAACACTTCGGATCGGACAGCCATAGACACCAGGCACACACATGGGGACACCCCTGCATGCTCACGTACATACATACACACACATACACACACACACACACACACCGCATGCATGCGCGCACACACACACACACACACAGGCAAAATACTCATAAAGTCAATCAAAAGATTTTTTACATAAAAATAAAAATTATATGTATGTGTGTGAAGTATAGATTTGTATATATGAAAGTATATATATGTGTGTGTATATATATATTTATATAATGAGAGTAGTGTCAATTGAGGCTGTTGTGAGCTACCTGATGTGGGAGCTGGGAGTTAAACTCAGGTCCTCTGCTGAGCCATCTCTCTAGCTCTTACATCTTTTTTTTTTTAATCACTTCTTTTTCCCCTTAATGAGTCTGAACATTCTCCTTATCTGGTGATAAAGACTTGCTATAATGATTTGATGGTTATTGGTCCTGAGATGTATGATAACTGATTTACCACTCGTCCATTGTTACTCTAGGACTCTCATAAAAAAGGAATTTGGACTTGCTCCCAGCAGTCACGGATGGATTAAATTATTATACATCACACCTATATTGGCTGACCTGGAACTCATGCCTGGGAGTAAGGCCACAGGCCAAAGTCCAGCTTGCTTATTAGCTGATGTGGCAGTGGAGGTGGTTGGGGGAGGGAGAGCAGAGGCTGGGCTTTTCTTTGTTGACAGACTGCTGCTTCTCTCCCAAGACCTAGAAATGAAACCCTTTCCTCTGGGTTCACTCAGGCTGTCCTTGGCCACATGTGCATGGTCTGTAGGTGCCTGTGATCTCTGGAGCATGGCTGGAGGAATGTGCTTCAGGTGTAGGAACTGGAGGGCTGGGCTGAATCTGTGCCTCTTCTGATTAAATAAGAGGTTGCTTTTAAAAATAGAGCCCATCTGGGTCTGCCTTGTGGCTAACCTCCTTTTCGTGGAAGCCAGCTATAAAGAGAGGTAGAATCAGTTGATCTGGGTTAACTTGGTTCTGGCTGATTGACAGTTTGTTCACATTTAAGGAATAAGTTGGGCAAGACTGGTGGTAGCTGAAGGCCTTTAGCTATTTTGTAGAAACAGGGAAAATCTGTCTTTTCTTCTTCCCAGTGCTGGAATGGGACACAGGGTCTCGTGTACCCAACCCGAGGGTTACTTCCCAGGCCCTAAGGATGTGCCAGTGAGAGCTTTCTCCTGATCATGAGTGCTCCCCAGAAGCAGTGTGCTAGCTCTCACTGCACATGTGACTCACCTAGAGATCTCGTTCATGCAGAGATTCGAAGCCACCTGCCACAGGGTCTGAGTCTGCGTTTACACTGAGCCCTCCCTGGTGCTGTGGATGCCACCTCCCGCTGAGCAGGAGGGAGTTGGAGCTTGTCTTGTGTTAGGTTTGCCAGTTCTCCCGTGTGCCACTATCATCTTGTGTCCTTTCAGAGTCTGGACTATGACCGCTGCATCAATGACCCTTACCTGGAGGTACTGGAGACCATGGACAATAAGGTGAGCCCACAGCTCTCGGTCTCTTAGGACTGAAGAGGTCTCAGCAGCTTATTTTCTGTCCTCATGTGACCCAGTAAGTGTCCTTTCTCTTTTTTCTTTAAGCCTTTACACAAAAGAGTGGCGTTTAAATCCCTAGACCCTGCTGCTGAGATGTAGCAGCAGGAAACGGCCCCTGCTGCCCGGCCTGACAACCTGCGTTTGACCCCCAGGACCCAGATGGTAAAAGGAGGACACACACACACACACACACACACACACACACACACACACACACACACACACACACACACACACGAGTGCTGGCACATGCCCGACCCATACATACAGAATCCCTAGACTCCCTCCTGCCATCCAGTGTACCCCCGGTCAGTCTACCAGCCGAGCCCTGTAAGGTTCATTAGTGTCACTGTGAGGCACCCGAGGCTGTCCTCCTCACCATGCTTACTGTCTCCTGAAGGGTTAGTCCAAGGCTGGTTAGCCAAGGCGCATCCTTCTCTATCACAAATGCACCTATTCTTTCCCCTTGTGAGCAGAAAGGGCGAAGATACGAGGCGGTGAAATGGATGGTGGTGTTTGCCATTGGCGTCTGCACCGGGCTGGTGAGCAGTGGGGCGTGGGGAATTGGCAAGCCGGGTGGGTCGAGAGGTCGGAGGGCAAGCCTTGCGTGGTGAATGACCTTTGTCGTTTGTGGCTGTAACAGTTGTAGCATCAGGACAGTTGTCACTCCGTTAATACTGCCCTTTCTTTTGCCTTGTTCTCCTGGCCTGGTTTTTCACATTACTTTTGCTTTCGCTTTGTACTGCAAAAGTGAGTCACAGGCGCCAGGCTATCGAAGCCTTGGTCAGAGCGTAACGCCAGTCATCTGATTATAGAGCATGACCTGGGCCTGCTGGGTGAGTCAGTCCTTCTTCCTGATGGCAGGTAGCACACAGCAGATAGAGGACACTGTGGTCCCGCTGTCCCGCTCACATTGAGTTGGCAGTGGTAGGTGAGGGACATGACAGAATGAACAGGGCGCCTGGGTTCCCCGGGTTCACAGATGGATCACAGGGAAAGCTGTTCACGTCACCAGGGATAGTGGCAGCAATTATGTCTGGTGCCATCACTAGGGACTTAACATCACTAAGACCAAAGAAGAGAAGCTGGAAAAGTCAGCACCCAGCGGGAGGACACGTGCACATTGGTCAGGGAAATGGCAGAGGGAGGGGTTCAGCCTTGTTACCACCTTTCTCAGGGCATGGTCACGAGTCTTGGGCTTAACTCCCCATGACACACCTGGGTAACGTGCACACATTTCGTGTCACACAGCCCCCAGGGACAACCAGTTCCTGTTCACGTGGTACCCATGAGATTTTTACTGTTCTAAATTCCCGAGGGCCACCTAGTGCCCCTAGTGCAGCAGGGAGGACTGTTTGATCATGTTCTAAGGGCATCGTGGGGATGAAGTCGGGTCGTCTCATGTGATTTCAGTGTGCATGGCCGGACGGGGACGAAGAGCAAAAGCCCCTGTCCCGTGTATTTCTGGCTGTGGCTCTCCCTGTAGCGAGCATCCTTTGCGCGCACAGGCGAGTCTTTCCTTTTAACTGCCCGTCAGCACCCTCATCCCCACAGGCGCTAAGAAGGCCGCCGCCTCTGTTCTGTGGCCGCTGCAGCCTGAGCTCCTAAGCCTTTGATCTGTCTCCACTCTCTGCCTCAGTTGAAAGGCTTCTGGGCGTTAGCTGGAGGGAGCTAGAGTTAAAGCAAGAAGCCTTTGATCCCACTCTCCCACATTAGAAGGTTCTGGGCCTCCCTTAAACTCTGCAGTGCAACAGTGGCGTATCCTTCTCAGGTAGCCAGCGACTGACACTGGTTCTCAGTCAAAATAATGGACTTAGACAATAAGAATACCAGACCACCTATGCCCAAGGAAATGTCCTCTACAGTAGCACTCTAAGCCACGTGCTTGTCCAGCCAGGCGCCACCAAGGACGTTTGACTGTTCTTTTGAATCCTCTGGAAACTGCCGAGCGGCTTCCGTCACTCAGCCTCACCCTCTCTAACCCAAGGAGAGAGTCTTCCCGTCTTGTCCTTCTCTATCTCTGCTTCACTTCCTCTTTCCTTTGGAAAGGCAGTGGGGCCAGCCTGGGCAGATCCCTGACCAGCAGAGAGTTCGCTCCGCCCGTTGCTGCTGGTGTCATGAGCAACCTCTGGATGCTGTGAGGGAGGGTGAGGCCCTAAGGGAGAGATGAAGATGTGTGTCTAGTCTCTCTCTTGCTTCACAGGTGGGTCTCTTTGTGGACTTCTCCGTGCGGCTCTTCACCCAACTCAAGTTCGGAGTGGTTCAAACCTGTATCCTTTCTATGGCTCCATTGTTTCAGGCCCCAGGATTCTTGAGACTTGCTTTAACAATGAATGTGATATTTGAAAGGCTGTTTGTCAGCCATTCAGCCAAGAGGTTTTAATTTGTCACTAAAGGGCGGGAAAACAAGACATTTTTTTGAGAGAGGGTCTCATGATATAGTCTTGGATGTACCGCAACTAGCTATGTAGACCAGGTTGCCTCAAACTCAGAGATCCACCTGCTTCTGACTCTGCCATTGCTGTGCTGGAATTAAAGGTGTGTACTACCGCACCCAGCTAAGGAAAAGAAGACTTTAATTGGGACGTTAATGCTGTAGGCGGATAAGACACAAATGCCCAGAGAAGTCTTTGCATGCATTCAGTGTTCTGATCAGAATTCTCTAGAATTCCTCACAGAACTCAACCTTGCTCATTTTACAGCAGTCTGAAAGAATAAAGTGCCAAGGTTACTGAGATGGTTTGAATAACAAGCAGGCGGTTGGATCTTACTATTGTCAGGACGAGAGAACTCAACAAGATGTTGCCATTTGCAGACGTATCCTGTTGGTACAGGAACTCCAGCTGGAGAAGCAGAGCATAGTCTACACGTGTTGAAACGTGACGGACAGTCAAGGTTAACAGTCAGTGAGGAAGGCCTGGATTGTCCAGTAAAGGGTGCTGGGCATTGGTAGTCACTGTCTACATGGAAAATGATAGATCCCTACCCATAGAGTTACATTCTAGATAGATTGAAGGCTGTGTTATCTTGTAGTTTAGTTGTGTTTTTGAAACAGGGTCTCTTGTAGCTCAGGCTGGCCTCAAACTGTTTGTAAGGCAGAGGCTGGCTTGGAACTTGTGATAGACCTGCCTCAGCCTCACAAATGCTGGGATTACAGGTCTGTACCACCTCTCTGATTCTAGGTTGAAGATATAAAAGAGCAATGCAAGAGACTGAATGATGACAGGCATAAGTTCTTAAAACTCCAGAGGCCCAGGTTGGAGGCAAAGACATCATCTTAGTGCTTGATCTTAAAGCTTGACCACATTAAATACTTTATTTAACATTAAAGTAAACACTCCATTTATGAATCAAATAAGAAACCCCCAAACAACAACAAGCAAATGCTGTAAATAAAGGGAAATCTGAGTTCACAGCCTGAGATAGGCTTTCCCTGCATTTAAGAAACAAAGCCTCTTAGTGCACATTATAATTCCAGCTACTAGGGAGGCTGAGGCAGGAGCTGTGCAAGTTGAAGGCCAGCCTGGGCAATGTAGGCCATGCCTCAAAATGAAAAGCCGAACAGAGGGCTGGGGCCCTAACATAGTAGTAGAGCACTCGTGTAGCACATGCAAAGCGTCTTTAGCAGTCCATAGTACCACACCAAAGAGACAGCTCAATCCCACATGTCTAGAAGAATGCTTCTATCAGAACACAATCAGACCACCCGAGGAGTTCCAGAGGAAGACACGGAATGGCCAGGAGGCTCTGGAAGAAACAGCGGCATTCTCGTTCCTTTGTTGTAGCTTTTAAATTCCTCCTCAGATGTGGACTTAGATACATTGAAGACAGCTTTCGTGACCGCTTTATGGCAGCAGACGTTTGAGTCACCAAATGAGGGAATGGAGAAATTATGGTTCATTCATACACTGTAATTGTATGCGGAAGTTAAGTAAACAAGCCACAGCTGTGTGTATCAACATGGCTAATTCTCAGGCGGTGTCGCACTGAGAGATGCTGTGTGACCGTACAGTAGAGAGTTGTAGGGACACAAGGTACATGGCAAGTGGGGCCCAGTGGTTTCAGGTTATTGGCGTCCCCTGAGTGGGAGGGAGGAGAAAGAGGTTTTGAGTGGGATAGCTTTGTTTTCAGTAACAGCCAAAGTCCTGTAGGACATAATGTTGAAGTTTGTTCAAGCTGGGTTTCGGGAGGTGTTGGTCACTTTTGTAATGTTTGGGGTGGAGAATGCTGTAATCTTAAAATTTTTAATTTCTTTTGTGTATGGGGTTGGGTGTGCACATGCCGCTGTATGTGGAGGTCAAAGGACAACTAGTCATCTCCGTCCACTATGTGGGTCTCAGGGATCGATCACGGCGGTCGGCCTTGGCAGCAAGCGCCTTTACCCAGAGTGCTGTTTGACCAGCCCCAAAAGTTACTCTTTTTTATTCGTTAGTTCCTTTTGGGACTGGGTTTCATTTAGCCCTGACTGACCTAGAACGTGCCTATGTAGACCAGGCTGACTTTGGACTCACATACAGCCTTTGCTGTATCTGCCTTTGCTTGCACTAAAGATACGCACTGCCGCACCCAGCTAACGTGGTTGGTACAGGCCTGAAGAGATGGCTCAGCAGTTATGAGCACTTGCTGCTCTTCCAGAGGACCTGGGTTTCATGCCCAGCACCCATAACCTCACAACCACCTCACAAGCTCATCACCACCTGTAAGTCCAGCTCCAAGGACCCAACACCTTCTGACCTCTTTGGGCACCTGCACACAAGTGCACATACACACACTTGTTTACACACACACACACACACACACACACACACACACACACACGTTTAAAAGTTGTTGTACGTGGAGTTCTGGGAGATATGCACTGAGCTGTCACTGTGGCTGCCCTGGGGAGCCCTGGGAGATAGCACTGAACTGTCGTCATGGCCGCCCCGTTTCACGTGACTGTGGGCACATGGCTGAGAGCCCTTTTCCTTGACTCAGCCTCTAGCGGTGGAGGAATGCAGTCAGAAAGGCTGCCTTGCCCTGTCCCTCCTTGAACTCCTGGGTTTTAACCTGACCTTTGTCTTCCTGGCAAGTCTTCTTGTCCTGATAGAGGTAAGGTGGTTGGGAAGTTGACTGTCCATGGACACTATGTCCTTTTTTTCTTATATTATTCACTCTGTAGTCCAGGCAAGCTAGATCTGTGTGCTTAATGTTCTTCAGCTGCATGTTGGGGAAACAGGTACATGAGGCCTGTAGGGTTTTGCAGAAATTCTCTATTGCTCACCTGGAGATCGTTCTAGAAGTAAAGCCTGCAGTGTCTGGGGAGATTAGTGAGGAATGTACAGATGGGGAAGGTGCTTTTCATCCTCACGACCTTGGGATCCCCTGGAGAGTGGTTTACTGGTGTGTAGATCAGAATCTGGGAAGGTGAGTCTGCCTGTGGGCAGACTCCACATGCAGGAGCCCATTAGAGTCAGGGGTCAGGCTGAGGGTCCAGCATCTGTGGCTGAACAAGCCCTCAGAGAGCGGGTTGCTGGGAAGGAAGACTGGGTGTCCCTGCTTAGTCTTCTGGCTTGTTGAGTGTAAGCTGCAGAGTGTGCTTTCATTCATTTCTGTGTTTCCTTCCCCAACAGCCAGTGGCGGCAGGTTCTGGGATCCCTGAGATCAAGTGCTATCTGAATGGTGTGAAGGTGCCAGGAATTGTCCGGCTCCGGACCCTGCTCTGCAAAGTCTTTGGGGTACTGTTCAGTGTGGCTGGAGGTGAGGAGAGGCTTTCTACTCTTGCCATCAAGTGTTGAAGGCATCCTGTGCATTGATTAGATGTGGGCTTACAGCTGCCCTCGCCTGGTACCTGTACTTTCTCGGTGCGTTAGTTGCTTGTCTGTGACCCAGCACGTGACAGAAGCAACTGGAAGGTGAGGGGGTTGTTTTTGCTCACAGTTTTCAGAGGGACTTAAGTCCATCCTAGCTGGAGAGACAAGGGACAGTTGACAGTGGGGGGACTATGTTGTGGGCGTCAGGAAGCAGGAACCAGGCTGGGCTATAAGCTTTGAAGGGCCACCTCGAAGTTACCACCTGCCAGCCAGGCCCCACGTCCTGAGGTTCCACCGCCTGCAGAACAGCACCACACACTGGGGCTTCAAAATGTGAGCCTGCTAGGGGAGCTCAGGTTCAGACCGCTCAGTTTTGTTCCCTTTGGTCCCTGCCTTACCTTTCTCTTTCTTTCCCCCTTCCCTCCCTCCCTCCCCCTCCCTCCCTCCCTCTCTCCCTCTCCTTCCCTTTCCCTTAAATTCTCTCTCCTTTATCTCTCTATTTCTCTTCTGAGATAGCATCTTGTTATATAGCCTACCTTTCCCAGAATTTTCCTCGTCTTCTAGTCCCACCTATCCTTCTGCCTCTATTGGCCAAACTGTTTTATTCATCAACCAATAAGAGAAGCATATATACAGAAGGAAATCCCCATCAGATAATGATTATAACAGGACTCAGGACCTCTGGAAGAGCTGCCAGTGCTCTTAACCTCTGAGCCATCTTCTCTCCAGCCCTATTCTCCATTCTTAACATGATGAAAACCCAGGGATGGCTCAGTGGTTAAGAGCACTGACTGCTCGCCGGGCGTTGGTGGCGCATGCCTTTAATCCCAGCACTCAGGAGGCAGAGGCAGGCGGATCTTTGTGAGTTTGAGGCCAGCCTGATCTACAGAGTCAGTGCCAGGATAGGCTCCAGAGCTACACAGAGAAACCCTGTCTCGAAAAACCAAAAAAAAAAAAAAAAAAAAAAAAAAATACTAACTGCTGCTCTTCCAGAGGTTCTGAGTTCAATTCCCAGCAACCAAATGGTGGCTCACAACCATCTATAATGAGATCTGGTGCCCTCTTCTGGCTGCAGGGATACATGCAGGCAAAACACTGTATACATAATAAAAATCTTAAAAACAAAACAAAACAGAAGTACTAATTTCCCCCTTTAAGAATTCCCAGGTTGCTGGGCAGTGGTGTCTTAATATTTTAATCCCAGCATGAGGGAGGCAGAGACAGGCAGATCTCTGAGTTCAAGACCAGCCTGGTCTACAGAGTGAGTTCCAGGACAGCCAAAGCTGTTACATGGAGAAACCCTGTCTTAAAAAACCAAAAAAAAAAAAAAGTCTTGGTAATATAATGAAACTAAACTGTGCCTTACAGCGGCACATAGCTGTAATCCCAGCACTCTTGGGGCAAAGGTAGCAGACTAGCTTCAAGTTTGAGCCCAGCCTGGTTTTACATAGCAAGTGACAGGCCACACAGTAAGCTGCTGCTTCAGAAGCCAGGTGTATACAGATGAAGGCTGGGAGTGAAGCCCCGTGGCAGGACACTTGCCCAGGGTGCACAGAGCTCTGGGTTGGAGTCCCAGCACCGTCAGTAAAGACGAAGTAGGTAGGTCTCAGTTCTCAGCTGTACAGAAACAGGCCTGACCACAGGCTGTGCTTTCCTGGCACTGGGATTCGGAGATAAGAACTACTATCCCTTGTAGCAAGTGGGGCTTGTTTGAAGGGAATTTGACCTAGCCTCTCTGTGTGTGTGTCTGTTGGGGGGGGAGTATGAGTGTGTGGAGTGGGGGGGTGGGTCTCAGAGTGAAAACACAAAACCCATAACTCTTAGGGAGTCACCCATCATGTCTTTTGAGACAGGCTCTCTCACTGACCTGGAACTTTGCAGTTGAGTAGGCTTGCTGGCCAGGGATTCCCAGGGATCCTGCCTCCAGTGCCCCGGTGCTGGGGGACAGATGCACTCTGTTGTTTCTGGGTTTTTGTGTTGGGGCTGAGGAGTTTGTACAGGAAGAACTTCACTGCCTGAGCTATTTCCCCAGTCCTGGCTCAGTTTCTACAGTAGAGAGTCAGTCATGCTTGTCTGCACTTTCTAGTTGTTGAGAGGAAGGTTTACACAGCAAAGTCTAGGCCAGAGGCCCTCTGCTGACTGAGCACTTCCTTTCTCATTCCCAGGGCTCTTTGTGGGGAAAGAAGGCCCCATGATCCACAGTGGTGCTGTGGTAGGAGCTGGCCTCCCTCAGGTAAGGGTTGGGAGTCAGGCTATGCATCCCTCCAGTGGGCCTCCTGGATAAGCCTGGAAAAATCCTTTGTGATGTCCCTAATGCGATTTCAGAACCTGTTGTTGCCTTTTGGAGTTGAGGTGGAAGCTTTGTGTCCTACAAAGCACCCAGCTGTTGTTCCTCAAAGTATAGCAATACTGTGTGTGCCGAGTCTTGGGGGCAGAAACAGGAAGCAGGGAAGAGCTGAGACAGGGTGGCTGGTGGGTTACCACATGCTACAAGTGTCATGTGGCTGGAAGAGTTGGCTGACCTTGCTCATTCCACATCGTGTGTTGCAATAAAAGTCACAGGGTGAGGCAGGTGTCACCTGTGCACTAGACTGTGCGTCCTAATAATTTCCTTCCCTGCTGTCACATAACTGACTAGACCCCTAAGCATAGATAAGGAGGCTGAAGGGCCAGCTCAGGACTCAACAGCTTCTTTTACAAATTAGGTTTCGCTGGGTGGTGGTGGCGCACGCCTTTAATCCCAGCACTCGGGAGGCAGAGGCAGGAGGATCTTTGTGAGTTCCAGACCAGCCTGGTCTACAAGAGCTAGTTCCAGGACAGCCCCCAAAGCCATAGAGAAACACTGTCTCCAAAAACAACAACAACAACAAAAAAATTAGGTTTCAGCTGGACAGTGATGGTGCACACCTTTAATCCCAGCATTCAGGAGGCAGAGGCAGGCAGATCTCTGTGAGTTTGAGGCCAGCTGGTCTGCAGAGCACGTTCCAGGGCAAACTCTACACAGAGAGACCCCTGTCTTGGAAAAAAAAATAGGTTTCATTGGTTGGTTGAGGTAGCGTCTTTCGACACCTGGGCTTTTGTTTGAGTTCTGGTCCCTTGAGAACAATCACCTGTGGACCCTTTTCTCCCTGCTCCAGGACGCTCCTGGGTGCATCCCTCTTGTACACACCTAGGCAGTTGTACAGACACACGGGCCTCCCTGGGGACCATGGGTTCTTGTGCTCTGCCCTCATGGCCTCTCTGACTTTGTTTCCCCCATTTCAGTTTCAGAGCATCTCCTTACGGAAGATCCAGTTCAACTTCCCCTACTTCCGCAGCGACAGGTAAGTTTTGGGAGGTGCAGCTCACCCTCCCCCCACGCTTGCCTGACTCACTGTGACCCCTGGCTGTCAGGAAAGAGAGCTCCGTAGAGAGAGAGAGACAAAAGGTCCAAGCTCTTGTCCTTTCCATTTGTCTAAGAGCCATTTCAGACAAAGATGCTGGGCCAAAACTGAAAACCTGGCCAGGGAAAGGCCCCCTGCCAGATAGACTCTGTAGCCCCGCGGGTTTGTGTGTCACTGTCCTGCACCCCTTGCACATTTTGGAACACCTTCGTCTTTGTATTCCCGTAAGGCATAGCTTTCTGCTTACACTCGCCGTTCTTACCAGGGCTCTGGTTTTGGTGGGAACATGGTTCAATAGCAACCATTGGATGTCCCCATCCTGTTCCCTGAACTGGAGGCCCTGTTGTATGTTCCTAGACTGACCAGGTCAGTGAGCCCCTGGTCTCAGGTGAAGAGCTGTTAGCCCTGAGGGAATGAGATGCAGTGTGTTGGCTGACAGACACCTGGGACGGGCACCTGTTGGCTGACAGACACCTGGGAAAAGGAAAGGCTTATTTTCCCTCATAGTTTTAAGGTTTTAGTGTCCATCATCTGTGGCTTGGAGTGGGTTCCAGTACCTTCTTGGTATACTCCAAATGGCCTAACTTCCTCCGATGAGGCTCCATTTCTCAGATTCCACCACCTTCTAGCAGTGCCTTGGGATGGTGGCCTTGAACACACTGGGGAATATTTCACATTCGAACTCAAGCACATGGGGAATGTGTGACTCAGAGGCAGCTATGACTGTCTGTCCAGGGCCCTGCTCTTTTGTGATCCTGACACTTGGGCTGTGAGGGAGAAGGTTCAGGGTAAAGAAGTGTCCTGAAGGCTCTTTATTAAATAAACAAGCGTGCTCTCTCCCTCTCCTCTCCTCTTCCTCAGAGACAAGCGGGACTTTGTATCAGCGGGGGCAGCTGCTGGAGTTGCTGCAGCTTTTGGGGCCCCTATAGGGGGTACCTTGTTCAGCCTGGAGGAGGGTTCGTCCTTCTGGAACCAGGGGCTCACGTGGAAAGTGGTAAGGAGACTGTCTGGGGAAGCCACCTCTTGGACCCCAAGCACGAGTCCAGAATGCACCCGGATATCACTTGAAACATGCAACTGCCCTTTTGTTGGAGCTGGCAGACTGACTCAGTGGGAACATCCCTGTCATAGCAGCCATAGCCTCCACAGTGGGCTTTTATGCTTTTCCCATGAGTCCACCCCACCCCCACCTGTACACCCCATACCAAACGACTGCTACTCCCTCTTTGTGAACACTGCCGTGAAAGCGTGCAAGTCTCTGCCAGGGAGGGAAGGAGGAACGACAGGATGGCGACTCGATCTGTCTCCTGGTGTGTTCTGTGCTCCTTCCTCTCTGGTGTAGGGCCTGTCGCGTCAGGGACTCTCAGCGTCAGGGACTCTCAGCATCAGGGACTCTCAGCATCAGGGACTCTCAGCATCAGGCATTCATGGAGGGGTAGAGTGACACTGGTCAGAGGCTGCCTTCAGTTGCTTTCCCTGAGGAGGGTGGCGCACTGCTTCCCAAACCCTGAACCCTGTCACTTCGGAAGGTCTCTTCCGGAGCCGAGGGCTTTTCATTTCTTGGATGGTTTGTTTTTGTTACTGTTTTGTTTTGGTTTTGAGACAGATCTCACTATGTAAAACAGGCCAGCCTCAAACCCATCTGTGTCACCACACTTAGTGGGGCGATGGGCTTTAAAGGGACTGTCTGGCCTGCAAGGTGTCTCAGTGGATAGGGGCACTTGCTGCCACTGCCAGATCCGAGTGGAGGGGGGACTGACTCCCGCAAGTTGTCCTTTGCCACATACACACAATCGTGAATGAAGAAAAATAAATGTAAGAGGACCTGAGGCGAGAGGGTGACGCCACCAGTGTCCCCGTCCTTTTTGTCCCCGTCCTCCAGCTCTTCTGCTCCATGTCTGCTGCCTTCACCCTCAACTTCTTCCGCTCTGGGATTCAGTTTGGAAGCTGGGGCTCCTTCCAGCTGCCTGGCCTGCTGAGCTTCGGGGAATTTAAGGTATGGCTTATCCTTCCGAGGACATTTCACTTGACCCGTGAAACTTGCTCTCAAGTAAACAGCAGAGGTGTAGGTGGCCTCTGGAATGGCTGTCGTTCCTGCACAAAGCTACCCATGAGCAGTGTGCCTGGGCAGCCTGGGCCCTCAGCAGGGAAGCAAGGCACCCACTCTTGTTCCTGTCTCTGTCCCTTTCCCTTCCTGTTCTCATGGCCACTCTGGTTTTTCTCTCTCCCTCCCTTCCCCCTTCTCTCAGTGCTCTGACTCTGATAAAAAATGTCACCTCTGGACAGCTATGGATTTGGGTTTCTTCGTCGTGATGGGGGTCATTGGGGGCCTCCTGGGAGCCACATTCAACTGTCTGAACAAGAGGCTTGCAAAGTACCGTATGCGCAACGTGCACCCGAAACCTAAGCTCGTCAGGTACCTGCAGTGAGCCCCTTGTGGGCGGGCCATCTCTCCCAAGGAAGATGGTGCTGGGAGCAGACCCTGCTTCCCACATTCCACCTGGATTTCTCCTCTGACACTAAACATATAAACAGGCTCATAAATATGCCCCATGAAGGCCAGAGAAGCCGAGGCTGGGCTTATATCTCAGTGACTGGGCAACTCACCCTCTTTCTGACTTGCCGCTAAAACACATAACCAAAGGTCAGGAGGGTCCCCAGGCCCTGCTGAGAGCTATCTGTCATGAGTTGCCCTTGCCTTGGACTTAGAGAAGAAAAGCCATTTAGCTCTTTAGAGAGAAATGATGTGTGTGTAACAGCTCCCTTGATCAGCTGCCTGCCCTTTATTGCAGCTAGCTAAATGGATCGAGTCTGGAGTGAATTCTGGATGCGTATGCCCTGGCCAGGGCTGCTGGGCTTGCCCTGTGGGGAGAGGGGTGCTGGGGTAGCTAGGGTGATTGTGTGTGCTCAAGCCTAGACATTATTCAATTGCATTGTGACGGCTGTGCTTTGCTTTCCAGAGTCTTAGAGAGCCTCTTGGTGTCCCTGGTGACCACTGTGGTGGTGTTTGTGGCCTCCATGGTGTTAGGAGAATGCAGACAGATGTCCTCTGCGAGTCAAACTGGTAATGGCTCCTTCCAGCTCCAGGTAACCCCAGCAAACTTGGCGTCTTTATCCTCCGTCCAGAAATGCACATCTCTTTAGAGTCATGCTGTTCCATGCTGGTGGCTGACTGCTGTGGTTCACCTGAGAGGATGTGGCAGTGCCTTCTGTCTTTTCTACGGTGTCTAAGGCTCTGGCCACTCTTCTCTAGGGAACCACACTCGTGGGACGCAGGCTCAGTAGCTACCTGTTCGCTTCTGCCCAGGTCCCATTGTGGCTTGTCCCTCTTCAGGCCTGCAGGAACACACTGGCCTAGGGCCACCACACCCAGCACCTACCTCAGTGATACGAGAGTCACTCGTGGGTGATGCTAACACCTCCTGGTGTCTGGCTTTTGCGGGGCTGCTTTCCTGGGCACGTGTCCCTTCTGCACCTTGCCTCGTCGTCTTTAGGAGGCCATGGGGTGTACTCGGCCTGCGTGTTTTGGTTCACTCTGATGGTCTTAGCTGTCACTTCAGAATCTGCACTAAGGAGGAAACCAATCCGTGGTGACCCCTCATGTAGTTATGCTTAGTGACAAGCATGAATGAGGACCAGGGAGATGCTCAGCAGGTAAAGCACTCGCCACACAAGTGCAGGAACTGAGTTCAGATCCCCACGACCCATAGAAAGCTGGGCATGGCAGCTTGTATCTGTATGTAATGCTGGTGCTGTTCCAGCAAGATGTGGGGGTTGTGGACAGGAAGTGGGGGACCAGCTTGTCTGGCATGTGCAGCAGTGGATAAGAGACCCCAGCTCAATGTCATGTGACCTCCACATGCATGCTATAGCAGTTGCACACCTACAGACACAGACGTACACAGATACTTTTAAAAAAAGTGCTGCTGGTCTGTAGTGGCACATGCCTTTAATCCCAGCACTCAAGAGACAGAAGAAGGTAGATCTCTGTGAGTTCAAGGCCAGCCTGGTCTAACACAACGAGTTCTAGGAGAGCCAAGACTACTCATAGGAACCCTGTGTTGCTGGGTGTTGGTGGTGCACACCTCACGCCTTTAATCTCAGCACTCGGGAGGCAGAGATAGGTGGATCTCTTGTGAGTTTGAGACCAGCTTGGCAAGAGCTAGCTAGTTCCAGGACAGCCTCCAAAGCCACAGAGAAACCCTCTCTCCAAAACAAAGCAAAACAAACAAACAAAAAACCCTGTCTCAAAAAATTTAAAAACAACAAAAGAAAGGGTGTGGCTGAGCAAGGCCTTACCCTGATTATTTCATTCCACATAGAGGATATAGGGGCCCAGCATCACAGTCAGCTGCCATCTGGTGCCCCGCCCACATATAGATGTGTGTCTACTTCCTCCAGCTAGACCCCAGCTTATAGGTGAAGAACTGCAGCCAGATGTCTGACTTTATTTATTATGTATACAGTGTTCTGTCTGCATATATGTTTGTACACCAGAAGAGGGCGCCAGATCTTACTAGATGGTTGCTGGGGATTGAACTCAGGACCTCTGGAAGAACAGCTACTGCTCTTAACCTCTGAGCCATCTCTCCAGCCACCAACATCTGACATCTTAGGAGAAAGCACTAAAGACTTGCATGTCCTGGTCAGAGGTCTTTGTATTGATTTTTTGATCCCATCTCTTTAGACCACATCAGAAGATGTGAATTCAACCATCAAGACATTTTTCTGTCCCAACGATACCTACAATGACATGGCCACGCTATTCTTCAACTCCCAGGAGTCTGCCATCCTGCAGCTCTTCCATCAGGATGGTTGGTATCAGTCACACACACACATACACACACACACTCACACACACACACACACACACACACACACACACACACACACTGGGGGGTGTCAGCTTCCACTCGGGCGTTTCCTCTGTAATGGCAGCCTAGTGTTGGATGGTGTGACCGGGCTGGGGTGCAGAGGACCTGGAAGGACCCCACAGTCTTGTGGGCCTGCACAGGCATCTGCTAGTGTGACTGGGGTCTGCTGTCACCCTGCAGGGACTTTCAGCCCCATCACCTTGGCCTTATTCTTCATCCTCTACTTCCTGCTGGCGTGCTGGACTTTCGGCACGTCTGTCCCCAGCGGCCTCTTTGTGCCTTCCCTGCTGTGTGGAGCGGCTTTTGGACGCTTGGTTGCCAACGTCCTGAAAAGGTAGTGTGGCAATGTGTATGCGTGTGCCCACATTCACCAGTGTGTGAGCCTGCACCATGAGTCTAAGCCTGGTAGTGTGGCAATGTGTATGCGTGTGCCCACATTCACCAGTGTGTGAGCCTGCACCATGAGTCTAAGCCTGGTAGTGTGGTAATGTGTGTACGTGTGCCCACATTCACCAGTGTGTGAGCCTGCACCATGAGTCTAAGCCTGGTAGTGTGGTAATGTGTGTACGTGTGCCCACATTCACCAGTGTGTGAGCCTGCACCATGAGTCTAAGCCTGGTAGTGTGGTAATGTGTGTACGTGTGCCCGCATTCACCAGTGTGTGAGCCTGCACCATTGTGAGTCTAAGCCTGGTAGTGTGGTAGTGTGTGTACGTGTGCATTCACCAGTGTGTGAGCCTGCACCATTGTGAGTCTAAGCCTGGAAGTGTGGTAATGTGTTTACGTGTGCCCGCATTTACAAGTGTGTGAGCCTGCACCACCATCGTGAGTCTAAGCCTGGTAGTGTGGTAATGTGTGTACGTGTGCCCGCATTTACAAGTGTGTGAGCCTGCACCACCATCGTGAGTCTAAGCCTGGTTCTGTTTCCTCACCAGCTACATTGGACTGGGCCACATCTATTCTGGGACCTTTGCCCTGATTGGTGCAGCAGCTTTCTTGGGTGGGGTTGTGAGAATGACTATCAGCCTCACTGTCATCCTGATGGAGTCTACCAATGAGATCACGTACGGGCTCCCCATTATGATCACCCTGATGGTGAGCACTTTCCCCTGGCTGCTGGCGGGCGGAGGGCAGGCTCACCATAAGGGATGTCTTCAGGTCCCTGCTCTGTGTTCCAGGTGGCCAAGTGGACGGGAGACTTTTTCAATAAGGGCATTTATGACATCCACGTGGGCCTCCGAGGTGTGCCTCTTCTGGAGTGGGAGACGGAGGTGGAAATGGACAAGTAAGAGGCTGCCTCTTCGCTCACATTGGTGCCGGGGTCTCTAAGCTCAGGGCCTGCAGAGCTGTCACAGCGGGAAACAGTAGCTGACATTGCTCAGATTAGAGGAGGGTTCACTCATGTTCCCCGTGTGTTTGGGGATGTTGAGCAGCTTGAGTGGGTGAGGAGTCTGGAGGGCAGGCTGGGTGGATGGTGAGGCCCAGAGGAAGACGGCTTTGTGCTCATTGGCTCCTTAGTGTCCTGGCCAAGTACATCGTGAGAACTGGATCAAGCTTGTATCTTGGCCAGATGTTCACACCGAGAACACACAAAGCCCCTGCAGTGACACCCGCCTACCCACACACCCAACCTCCTACCTGTGTGTCAGGCAGGCCTTGTGAGCTAATGCAGGGTCAGCCGCCGCCTCTCCTCAGCAAGCTTCCCAGCATTGTGAGCCTGTCAGCCCCGCAGCGCGGTCACTGCAGCAGGAAAACGGACATGCACGAGTGCGCAGGGCTGGAATTGATCAGGCTCTGTCATCCTGGTCTAAACAAGCACTCCAGGATCGTCCTTTAACTTCCAGAATAATTAGTGATTAGTAACGATACATAGCATGTGATGTGGTGTTTCAAGGAGTGGCTGGACAACCCTTGGGAAAGCTGGAGGGGTTCGTGGAGAGCTAACAGTGGCCCCTGGCATGATAAGTTGTGGAGCGTTGTAGCAGGCATGGTGGTGGGCGTCCGAGGAACTGCTGGGCATGGTTCAGAAGAGAGGCCCCAGTGACCCAGGTGGAGGAGGAGGAGCACTGCCCAGTCCAGCCTGTCCCCAGGGCAGTGGTCTCTTGGAGGCTGTTACAGCTCCCCCTCTGCAGGCTGAGAGCCAGTGACATCATGGAGCCCAACCTGACGTACGTCTACCCACACACTCGCATCCAGTCTCTGGTGAGCATCCTACGCACCACCGTCCACCACGCCTTCCCAGTGGTCACAGAGAACCGAGGCAACGAGAAGGACTTCATGAAGGGCAACCAGCTCATCAGCAACAACATTAAGTTCAAGGTGAGGGAAAAATGGCCGCAAGGGAAGGCCAGCAAGGAAACCTCCTGGCCCAGCACTCCCGCTTGTGTGTGGTGCTGCCTCTGCAGCTGGGGTGGACTCAGGCTCTGTCAGTCTAGGGAAAGTCTGCCGCACCTCACAGGTGACACAGTGGGCTTTGCAGAGGGTGTGTGCTCGTCTGGGCAGCAGGAAGCAGGTGGGTGGGCCCTTTCTTAAAGTCAGCAGACTTGGTATTAATTAATCATTTACCATATGCAAGCATCAGAGAAGGTTCTAGAGTTGCTGACACAAATGAACTCTGACCTACTTAGGAAAGTGGGAGTCCAGGCAGGAGGATCACTGTGAACTCCAGGCCAGCCTGGGTTATATAGAGAAACCCTGTCTCAGTAAACCTCAGACAATGAGAAAGAAATTGAGTGGAAGCTGCAGGCTTAGCTGGAGTTGTAGGGATGCAGATATTGTCCTTATAATGCCATTTGGGATACCAGGGGGAATGGGCACTGGCTGGTCTCTGTCCTAGGGTGGCTCCCAACTCACAGTCCGGGGCCGTCACCTCATGCAGACTATGTGCCCACCTTTCGCCTTTGGTGTCTTTGGGAAAGGCAGACACACATTGACAGTTCCTCCAGGACAGGATGTAAGAGAAAAGTTGTTTTCCCTCTGCAGAATTGAGGTGTGCCTCCCAAATGAGAGAAGATGGGGTCACAGGCCCTCAGAGCCATGAGAGTGGATGCAGTGGATAATTTCGCATCTCTGTGACAAAATGTGTGGCATAAAACTGCTCAGAAAAGTCAGGTGGTGGTGCACGCCTTTAATCTCAGCACTCGGGAGGCAGGGGCAGGCAGATCTCTGGTCTACAGAGTGAGTTCCAGAACAGCCAGGGCTACACAGAGAACCCCTGTCTCAAAAAAAAAAAAAAAAAGTAAACAAACCACTGAGAAGAAGGATTTCTTCGGCCCTGTGTTCCAGAGCTGTCTGTCTGTCAGGGCCGGGAAGGTGTGCAGAGGGGAATATCAGCAGCACGGGGAGAGAAAGCAGACAGAAGCGTACAGGAAGGGCCCAGGGCAAGAGTAGCTCCGAGAACACAGACACACATACAACTGTGACCTACTTCCCTAACCAGACCCCAGCTCCTCCTCTTCATCTGTGAGGTCAAAGCCCTTGGCATCTGGTTCTGTGAAAACAGACACCCAGGGCTGCTTCGATACCACTAAACCTGGGTCAGACTGACCATCAGGACCAAGTGAGATGCTCGGCCTGGGCAGGGTTCGGGGTGTGGTGCAGTGGTAGAGGCCTCAGGTTTGTATTCAAGTCCAAGGACTGACTGGCCTGCTCCTCTAAGAGGCCTGCAGGCCTCCATGGGAAGTGCTGTCCCCATCATCATAGCCCTGTTGGTGCCCCTGTGTTTGTATGCCCAGCACTGCCATCTTGGCCCCTGTAAAGATTGTCACTGTCCCCACACCCCATCCATAGAAATCCAGTATCCTCACCCGTGCCGGTGAACAGCGCAAGCGGGGCCAGTCCATGAAGTCTTACCCTTCCAGTGAGCTTCGAAATGTGTGTGATGAGCACGTGGCCTCAGAGGAGCCGGCCGAGAAGGAGGACCTGCTGCAGCAGATGCTGGAGAGGAGGTGAGGGCCTCACACCGCCCGCTTGCCCGCTGCCACCATGCAGAGCACCCTGCGCACAGCGGGTGTGAGGGAGCCCCTGAGCTGCCGGAGGTTATGGGAAGGCGACAAGGGCTTGGCGGAAGGGACCCTGCTGAGGGTCCACGAGGCAGCGTCTGGTTTTTGTGTAACAGATACACTCCCTACCCCAACCTATACCCTGACCAGTCCCCGAGTGAAGACTGGACCATGGAGGAGCGCTTCCGCCCGCTGACCTTCCACGGCCTCGCCCTGCGCTCGCAGCTCGTCACCCTGCTCGTCCGAGGGGTGTGCTATTCCGAAAGTCAGTCTGTAAGTCGTGGGCCCTGGTGCCGTGGGAGAGGTGGCTCTGTGTGGTGTGCAGAGCTGCTGTTGAGTAGCATGCTCGCTCTCCTGTGCCCTTTGCTGTGTTGGAGCCCCAGGTCAGGAGCGGGTGAGAGCTAGCTGACTCCAGCTGCCCCTTGTTTAGCCTTTGCCCCGTTTTGTCCAGTGTCTCCTGCCTGCTGGCCTGTGAGCTTGTCATACCCTGAGCGACTTTTCCTTCTGTTTTCTTTGTTGAGACGGGATCTCATGTAGCCCTAGCTGGTCTTCACCTCACAGGATAGCTGAGGATGACTCCTGCCTCCTCCAGCAGGCATGTGCTGGGATCACAGGCATGTGCCTCTGTGCCCGCCTTTAGTACTGCAGAGTTTGAATTCTGGTCCAAGTAGGCTCTTCTGCATGAAGTATCTTCCTCCCGCCAGCTCCGCTGTTTTTCTCTTTCATTTGGTTTTTGGGTGTCCCCATGGTACCCAAGACCACACCCCTCACACCTTTTCAGCAGGAGGCTTGAGCCAATCACCCAGAGCCCTGGTTTCCAGAGTGACTCCTGATGTTAGGAGTTGGGGTTTCTACCATGTGGCCTCCTGAGCCCCTCTATGGTCTGCTAAGACTACAGAAGAGCAGTACCCTGGTACCTGACCTGGGTGGAGTGTGGGTGACCAGCCTGGTTAGAGTGATAGAGACACTGATAGGGAGCTTAGAGGCAAGGAGGTTGGAGTGGCCACAAGCTTGGGTCCTGAAGTGCCAGGCCTAGCCGGCTAGAGCAGACAGATGCTGGGGCTGCTCGGCAGTGGGGCCCCCTGTGAGCCAGGGGAAGGTGCAGAGTGGAGTCAGGGAGCAGGGGCCTTCAGGACAGCAGTAGCCTGCCGGCCTTGCCCTGGCCTCCCTGCCCGGTGACAGCAGCAGTGAGATCTAAGGGGTAGTGACAACATTTCTGTGAGGCTATGCTGTAACCACTGCACCAAACTGCCATTGGCCTGGTAGCTTGAAGCAGGATCTTTCATGGTTCGAGGCCATAAGTACAAGATTCAGAGCGCATGGGACGAGCTTTGTGAAGGAGCTAGCAGAGGGGTCTTCCTGGCCTCCTCTGGTCACTGTGGTTGCCAACAACTCCAGACCTTGCTGGTTGTAAACATCAGTTCAGTTTGACTTCAACATGCATGGTGCTCACTCTGCTTCTGCTCCCCATTTTGTAAGGATACCCGATGCTGGAGTTAGTCCTAGTCCAGTATGAGCTCATTGTAAGCAAATCTGCAGAAACCCTGTTTTCAGTAAAGGCACCCAATAGGTACCAGGATTTACAGGTTGGCTCTGTCTTTGGGGGACACAACTCAGCCCACAGCACCTATTAGCGGTTTTCTCATCTGTTAGGACCCAGTTTGGTGTCGGGCTGTCTCCCTCTTTAGCACCCACTGTGGCCCTGGTGCTGCCTATCCCCCGGGTGGACTCTGACCGGAAGATACTAACGAGCATAACTAGGGAGGGGCTGTTGGAGTGACCCTCCTGGCTGGCGGCTGCTGTTTGTTGCAAGGACACTGTCTTGATCGGAATTGCAGAGTGCCAGTCAACCACGCCTTTCTTATGCTGAGATGGCTGAGGACTACCCGAGGTATCCGGACATCCATGACCTGGATCTCACACTGCTGAATCCCCGGATGATTGTGGTGAGGAGGGCTGTCCCTCGGGGCTGTCCCACATGCTGCGTCCATGCTTCACCTAGTCTGTGGGTGATTCTTGCTTTGTCTTCTGCAGGATGTCACCCCATATATGAACCCTTCACCATTCACTGTCTCCCCCAACACCCATGTTTCCCAAGTTTTCAACCTGTTCAGAACCATGGGCCTGCGCCACTTGCCCGTGGTGAATGCAGTGGGAGAGGTGAGTGACGAGCGTGGAGAAGAGCTGTGTCCCTAGCTGCCTGTCTCTTGTCTGTCCGCCCACCCTGAGGCTTCCCCACGGCTATGTCTGTCTCTTCCCCATGGTGCGTGTCTGTAGCACCAGTCCAGCAGGGGGCGCCCCAAGGTCTACCTTCCATTCCTCTATCGCCTCTTCTTGTCTCTACTCCAGGGCTTCTTACCTTCCCCTGGTCTGTGTTCCTTGGCTCCTACCTCTTATAGGTATTTGTAGCAGTAATAGAATTTAAGGTGAAATTCTCAGAGGGTTTTAAAGGATAGCATCCCCAGCCGTCATTTCTTTACATAGTGAACTGTATTTGTGAGCTGCGTGAGCACCGCTCTGTGGGGTTGCTTCTCCCCTCCCCCTTCAGTGGGATGGGTCCTGGGACCAGAACACTGGTCACCAGGCTTGCATGGTGAGCGTATTTATCCCCTGAGCCATCCTGTCAGCCCAACTTGAGTTTTTAATTGCATAGCTATTGTTATGCTCTCATACTATATTGTCGTGAAATCAGAAAACAAAACAAGCCCCGATCCTGTCCTGCTGAGGTCGCTGTGCTGTCGCCTTTCCTGTGCACAGGTTATCCCAGTGGGTTCTCCCGAGGGCGCTCATCTCTGCAACGTCTTGTTGTGTCTCAGGCATGCTGGGCAGGTGCTCCACCCACCTGCGTGACAGTCAGGCATCAAGGCTGTGTGGCCCTTTTTCCTGTCTAAAATGACCCTGTAGAGAAGTGGTGCCTCTTTAAAGGGGCAGCCTGCCTTCCCTGTCTCTTACTTCCCGTGCCCAACTTGCTTTTGGCCATGGCGTTCTGTCACAGCAGTAGAAACCCTAAGACAGGACACGACGCGCCTTGGGGTGCAGCTCAGTAATAGAGCATGTGCTAGGTTTGTTTATAAACAAGCACACAATATAAAACGCAGGCTGGTTCTGCCAGGCATTGTGGCTCACACCTGTAATCCCAGCACAGCACACAGGAAGATGGCAAGTTCAAGGTCAGCCTGGACTGTGTTGTGAATGAATCCCTGTCTCCACCCAAACCAGAGACAACAAAAGCATGCCTGGACCACACATAGATGTGTGTTGAGAGAAAGCAGGTGACTCTTCCAAAGGGCCAGGGTCCCCTTTAGTCACCCCTGCTCTCCCTGCTCCCATTTCGGGGCATGGGATCCCCTTTGTGCATCTGCATGTCCCCACACCTCCTGAGAGTAGGAAGTCTGTGCCATGAGCTCGCACACCCTGTCATGTCCTTACGCTCACCAGGTCCCATCCTCTTTCTGTCTCTGCGTCCTGGAGTACATCAACAGGGGCCGTTCTGTTTTCTTCACGAATGTCCTACCTGGTTCTTGTATACTCTGGTGACTTGGGTGTTTTTTCCTTGCCCTAGATCGTGGGAATCATCACACGACACAACTTGACGTATGAGTTCCTGCAGGCCCGGCTTCGGCAGCATTACCAGACCCTCTGACAGTTGAGCCCGGCTGCCGCCAGCCCACTCTCCCAGAGACGCCTCTGCAGGTGGCTTGCTCACACACTGGCCCCCACAGCTGGCATGAAGGCTCCCAGGCACCCACTTACTTGCCTGGAGTCCTGGAAGACTGGGGTCAGAGGTTTTGGGGATGTGTTGAGCAGAAAGTTGGAATTTTACTAACTTCCTCAGCAAGAATTTTCCATTTCTCGTTCCCCAGGTTCCCATAGAGAGATGCCAAGGTGAAGTCAGGCTGGGTCCCGGATAGGCACTTGGTGCTTCTCTGTTGCTGTTTTCAGAGAGCCCAGCTGTTACCCAGACCCTCCTGAGAAGGTGTGGACAGAGGCAAACATTGGGGATGTTATTTGCTTATCATGTTCATTACTAAGTTCAGGAATTGGGCCCTGAGAACTGTTCCCCATGTCCAGGAAGGTCCGGGATCAACCCCAGGACCTCAGATATGCTCGTACTCTCTGCCTCTTCATTGGCCTGTCTTTCTTCCCATTCTGTTTCCTAGGAGCAAGCACGTGCTCTGCTCCTGCCCTGTGGCTTGAATCTCCTTAGAATCATTCCTGATCAGATCCATGAAACACTAAACCCAGCAAACAGCCTTTGACCATCAAATCCCATGGGAGGAGGGGTCTCTCCCTCACTGTAAGCATTCAGTGGTCCCAGCCCCCACTTACACCTGGTTACACATGCTCTCCACCCATTCTCAGTTCATTCCCCCCCACAACTGCTGGGCTTTCTAAGCCTTCATCTCTGCCTTCCTGGTGGGGCAGCCACAGCTTTGTCTTGAACTCATTCCCAAAGTTAACCAAAATTGAGGAACCCCTAGACAGAACCACTACCCCAAGCCCTAGAAAATTTGGAACCACTGTACAAGGTAGCAGACAGTCTGCCCGGAGCCAGGGCTAATGAAAGGTAGGCCTCCAGAAGGAAGCTAGTGGCTCCTCTCATGGTCACTGCGCATAGCTGCCTCCAGAGCCTCTCCCCCTTGTGCCTCACTGGTTTTCATGGTTCCACTCTCTCCTGACTGCTGGTCCTCTTTGAGTTGGTACCTCAGTGACCATCTAGGTGGGGACATCAGCACTCACTTTCCTGCATCCTAAGGCACTATGGTGGCTGTTCCTTGGATACCAGGAGACATTCATTTGCATTAGATACTGGTTTTTTTGTTTTGTTTTGTTTCTTTATTGGTTTTTTTCAAGACAGGATTTCTCTGCGTTGCCCTGGCTGTCTGGGAACTCATTCTGTAGACCAGGCTAGCCTGGAACTCAGAGATCTGACTGTCTCTGCCCCCCCCCCCGAGTGCTGGGATTAAAGGCATGCGCCACCACCGCATGTTGCATTAAGATATTTTTAGCACCAGGGCCCCAGGCCTGGCAGGGTCTTGTAATCAGCATGTGGGAAATTATCCCACATCCTCAGTCAGGGGTTACCTTGGGGCTTTGTAGCTGGCTGTGACCCAGGCCCTCTGTTTTCCCCATTTGCCTATCTTTTTACCAGAACAGTCTGTTTTCAGGTCCTGACTTGTGAGGTGGGGGTAGGGATGGAAACTCCCAACAATAGTCGGGAGAACAGTCCTGCTAAGCAGGGCTGCATTTGGCCAGCTGCCAGCTTCATTTTACAGCTGATTCGAGTGCCTGCCCTGCCGTATCCTCCATCAAGAAGAAAACCCATTGCCCACACCAAGAGGAAAGTGTGACACACCACAGAATCATCTTCCCAGCCTGGTGGTTTGCAGAACAGCAGCCTGCAGGGGGCCAGAGTCCACAGCTTCCTGCCTCCAAGCCTGCGCTGGCGGCCGATTACAATTCTGTGTGTGTGTTGAGTCACCCTCAGTTTAGCCCAGAACAGACGGGTGCAGCTACTTCTACCCTGGAGCTGGAGCCCATGCCCCTCATGCCCATCTGGGACACCCAGTCCTTTTGTCTCCCCTCCCCCCAACTCCTATTCAGAAAAGCCCAAAGACATCAGCTTTCCCACTTGTGAGCTATAAGCCTTGCCCCCCCCCAATAACTGTCCCTTGGAACCAGTGGCTCAGTATCTCACCTGTGACGGTTCAGTGCGCCCCCTCCCCAGTGCCACTGCACCTTGTCAAACACCTCCACGGAGGGACACCTGAGGTTGGCTCGAGGCAGTTTTCCTGGCTTCCACACCTGGGCATTGGTGTGGCTCCCTGGTCCAGCTGTGGGAGTTTGGTGTTTTTGAGCTATCTGCATGTGACCTTGTGAAGCAGTTCCAGCTGGAACGGGCATTAGCTTGATTCAGCCAGCCGTGTGACAGTTTGATGCAGACCTTGGTGACAAGAAAGCTTCCGGAAAAGCCAGCACAGCCCTCCTGGCGCGGCTGTGTTGACACTCAGTGTTGCCCTCTGCTCCTGTGGAACCCAGTGATCTCTCTGGTTGCAGCTTCCGCCTTTCTGTCTGCACTGTTTGTTTATATGGTAACATTAGCTGATCCCACTGTGTAGATAAATTGTATCTTTTTTAATTTGTAAAAGTCTATTTTTATTTGACCCTTTGGAAGGTGAAAGTTCTGTGGTAACTTTAAGAAGTCAGAATAAAACGTCTGCACCTTCACTGAAGACCCTGGCTCCACAGTGCTTTTCTTTCTAGGTCTCCATTTCATTCCCTCCTTCAAGTAGGGAAAAGTGAAGTTGCTTTTAAAAGGCAGTCTGTTTGTGAGACGGCCTTATGTAACCCAGGCTAGCCTCAGACTCTCTGTAATGAGGGATGACCTCAGCTGTCCTCTGCTATGCAAGTGCTGAGGTTACAGGCATGTGTCATCATGCCCAGTCAGAAGGTGATCTGCTGGCCCCACCCTCCCTGTCACTGTCTGTCCCCGTACCCGTCTTTGAAAGCACGGACTTAGTCCTGTGGCTCTTACTCGGCACCCACCACTGCTGTGGTTTGACTCGCCTGTGAACACTGGTCCTTTTTTCTGTCCATCTTTTCTCCCTGCCAGCAGCCATAGGAGAAGAGCAGACAGTCTGCTCTGACTGCCTGTTCCAGTACTTACCTCAGCCAGGAGCCTGACGGCAGCCAGAACACCGGAAGCCCTCGCCCCCTGCGTGCGTGTGTCTACGTTCTTGCATATGTCCGCTCTTCGCTCACTTGTCTCCTATTTGACAGGAAATGCTGCTCGCTGTGTCTATGGCTATGCCGCCATGCCGCCAGTCACAGACAGCAGCCCATCAGGCCCCTCCTATCTCAGCTTCCTCCAAGTCTTAGGGGCGCTTTGTACCTTATGTGTCTCTTTTTGTCCCTTCCACTCAGCGACAACCCTTTGTTGCCATGACACCTGGAGGGTATCTTCGGTAGCCCATTCTTTTCTCCTTAGTGACTGGGATTCCCAAGTGCAGGCCTGATGCTTTCTCCTGTTTCACGCTGGTCCTTGTAAGTTGTTCTCCACTAACTAGTTGGTTGGCTGGCTGGTTGGTTGGGTTGTTGTTGTTTTGTTATGTTTTGTACCTACTGATTTGAGATCCAGATAAGAATATTTTTTGTTGTTTTTGTTTGTTTGCTTGTTTTGAGACTGTGCTTCTCTGTGTAACAACCCTAGCTGTCCTGGAACTCTATGTGTAGACCAGGCTGGCCTCAAACTCAGAGATCTGCCTACCCACCTCCTGAGTGTTGGGATTAAAGGTGTGTGCCACCATGCCAGGCCCAGAGAGGAGCATGTGACCAGGAGTGGTTAACATTCTTCCTCCACTGGCGGCGACCAGCCCCTCAGTTTTGCTTCTGTTGAGCATGTGACCAGGAGTGGTTAACATTCTTCCTCCACTGGCGGCGACCAGCCCCTCAGTTTTGCTTCTGTCCTTGCCCCTCCCCCTACACACACACACACACACACACACACACACACACACACACACACACACGTGTGCACCTACCCTACTGCTTGGTTTCTTCCCTTTTCTGTACAACGTGCTCAGTACAAGTTGGGACACAAGTACTGGGCCACGCACACAGCAAGCCGTGCCCTGTTGGAGTTATAGCATGCACCTGTGATGTCATCGGAAGCAGTGTCCACAATTAGCCTTGAATATGCAGGATGCAGAGTGTACCAGACGGTGGCCTCCTGGGATGGGGGTCAGCAGAAATGAGTGCAGCCAGGTGAATGTGGGGGTGAAGAGTGTCCATGTGGGACCCTGAGGCAGTGGCATATGCTCAGGGGAACGGGCAAGAAAATCAGAGTCCCTCCTTGTTTAAAAGGAGCCTGGCGTCCTGTTCTGTGTGTAGGGTGGCACCTAGGGCATCGAGGTAGAGAGAGGCAAGCGTATCTCCCTGAGTTCGAGGCCAGCCAAGGCTACATAGTGAGACCATAAATAAATAGATGATAAATAAACTACTGTTTCCTGGTGGCCCTTACCTCCATGTAGTATGCAATTCAAGTACCACAGTCCTGGGTTAGGGAGGCCATGGCTATTTTATAAACACATTTGGCTCTGATCTCTGGCGCAGATTGATGACACCAGTAAGACAGATAGGTAGGGATGCACCAGTGATACAGGTAAGGATGTGTTGGTGAGAGAGAGAGGGAGAGGTTCACCGGGAGATAGGGATGCATTGGTGAAATAGGTAGGCAGGTAGGAACGCACTGGCCGGTGTGGTAGTTCACAAAGCATCTGAACTTGCCACTCATCAGCCTGGAAGCCGTGCTTCCTTGCTCCCAGCTATGAAACCCACCCTCCACTCTTGTCCAAACTGAAAAGTGTAATTCACATGGCTGCAGCAGCTGGCGCTCAGGTAACGGAAGATCTGGACAATCCCTGGTTCTCTAAATGCTCCTTAAAACCACCCAGGCTGTATCCACAAAGTGAGAGGGGTACAAGGAATTGTCCGCCGAGCACAAGCGTCCGTACGTGCCGACAGGAAAAGATGAAAATAAATGACCTTTCAGTCGGGGTGGACTTTTCCGCCATCTGAGGCTGGAGTGAGTGGCCGAGCACTGTGTCCTGAGGCCCCCACACACTCAGCAAGAAGAGTCAGGGAGCAAGGAATGACGGGAAAGGGTGAGGTGGGGGCACCGGGGAATGCAGGGCGGAAGTGAAAAAAGCACCCAGACCTCGGCTTCTGTCCTTGGTGCTGAAGTTTATTCAAAAAAATTTTTCCAACTGCTTTCTGAAAGGGGTGAGGATCTACTTTAATATGCAGGGCTGGAGAGGGAGAGCCCCCCAAAACCACTCATCTACATGTAGCATGGGTCGTGATAGATGAAGACAGGAAGCAGCAGCTCCAGCAGGGTGTTCGCCACACCTCAGTGACAATGAGACCAAGCTGCGTGACACACCACGGGGCTTGGGGTCTTCTGCAATCTGCCCCCAGCGAATCTGGCTGCCTTTCCTCCCTGGCTGTTATCTTCGGTACTGCAAAGAGAAAAATATATTGGTTTGATGATCTGGCTTTACTGTACTAAAACATTCAACTTGACCAGTGATCAGCTATTTCCCACCAGCCACAGTCCAGCCCAACGATCCTCTGTCATAAACTGGCAAATGAGTCACCCATAAGCATTAAGCAAGCAGTCTTAGTCCATTTCATTTAAATATGCCAGGCTCTTCCAATTGTGGGAAGATCGCTAACTGCCCATCAGCGGCCCAAAGGTGACTTTGCCTTGTATTCTAATTCCCAAGCTGGTGGCTCGGAGGCTGTAGCAGCTGTTGTCATTGTCCTGAGACTTCTGGAGCATCCACCATAGTGGGGCAGAACTCTCAGAAGGAGTAAACCCCTGCACCGGTCTCTGCCGCCAGAGATGCTCCCTGGTAGTATTCCTTGGCAAGGTTTGAGCCTTAACAAGACCATATTTGTCCTCTCATCCCATTTCCATCCACAGTTCCTCTTACCCGGAAGCTATTACATCCTAGTCCGCTCTGGGCTCCAATCCTGTCGATCCTACCCCCGAAGCAGCTGGACCTCCGTAGGCTCCGAGGGGCAGCTAGCAGAGCCCTCAGTTTGCTTTTCAAGAGAGCAGATCTATCGGAGGGGTCCCAGGGGCTGCGCCCCAGGGTACCGCCATCTCTCTGAGGTGGGTTGACCTCTCCAGTCCAGGGAGCCACCTCAGGGAGAGAGCTGAGCGCTGCCCCTGGCGCTTCATCATTCTGCTCACTCAGGGCCTGTGGGGGCACGACCTCATCTTCTAACGGCATCTTCTCCTCCAGATGGTCCAGCAGGTTCTTTACAAAGGAAAAATAAATGCAGGGGAAGAGGGATGTCTTAGAGGAATGCACTCAGCGCCAAAGAGACCCAGTCTGTGCCCCACTTCCTGGCCCTACCTTGAAATCCATCAGATCTGTGTTGGACACTGCACTGTACACAGGGTTCGCTCCAATATGGCCCGGAAGCCAAAAGGCCAGGAGGAGGAAGAAGCCCACGGTGATGGAGAAGGAGCCCATGCCGGTGTGGGTCGGGGCACGATCTGATGCTCGCTGTCTCTGCTCACTCCTCTCCGGTTTCTCTCTCTCTCTCTCTCTCTCTCTCTCTCTCTCTCTCTCTCTCTCTCTCTCTCTCTCTCTCAGCCTTTGCCCGTCACTGTCTCCCGGCTGCCCAGTGCCTCCCGTTTTTATAGCCCCCCAGCTCTCTGAGAACGCAGGAGGGCTGGAACCCTCCCCATTCTGTCACTTGCAGAGATAAAGCGATGGAGTGAGGAGCCAGCAGAAGATGTCCTTTTAAAGTTATCAGCCCAGCAGAGCTTGTCACAGCCCCTGCGCCTTGAGCAGCTCCAGTAACCCCCCTCCCCGAGACCCTCCGCTGCAAGAGTCACATTCTTGCTGATTTGCCTCAAGAGGCCCCCACTTCAAAGGTGTGAGAAGAGCAGAAAAGAGTCCTTGGTTATCTTCCCCGGGCGCGCGCCTCGGGATTCTTTCTCCCTGGCAACGGGACCCATGCAGGGAAGCAGAGGGTGACGGCTGGCCTGCACCCAGCTCCCCCCTGCTTGCAGCTCAGCTGTCAGGGGCTCCAAATAAGGGCGGGAGGGGAGGAAATGACAGGCAGCTGGGAGGCCAACCAGACTGGCTAGGGAGGCTAGCTTCACACCTGCTTCATCGGCCTCGTGGGCCGACCTCCGCCCCCCCCCCCGACAGCCCACCCCCACCCTAGATGTCCGTGTTAGCAGTCAGGTGAAAGAGTCGTTTTATTTTAGAGTATGAAGTCAGCCAGGAAGCCAGCGTGATACAGGCCCTAAGAATCCAGCTAGAAGTGTAAATGCCAAGAGAGGATAGAGCATATTCCCTCTGAAGCCCATTCCCTCCGAAGCCCATTCTTCCTGTCTCCCAAGACTTGGACCACGGTGCAAGGGGGACAGACGGGCTTGAGGAATGGCACCACTTCTCTTCCTTGGCCTTGCCCTTTTCAAAAGCTCTTGAGTCTGAGTATAGAGTGTATAACGGTCCCCCCTTCCCAGGGAAATAGAGGGAAGAAGTGAAGGGATTGAAGTTCTCCATAACATCTTCGAGGCCTCCGAGGCCAAGGAAGTGAGCCGTGAGGGCCTTGATTCCTCTGGCACCGTCAGGAGTGTGAACAGACAGCCTGTCATTGAACACTCTCCGTACCTCAGTGTCCCCACATTCAACACGGTGTATGCTTTGTTGTCTGACAAGGGGGCATTTTCTACTCTCTCCTTTCTGATCATGTATGGGCTACAGCAGACCCCGGTCCCATGCCCACATTCCCGGCACACGTGGATTGGATAGATGTTTTCAGGATGGCTATTTCCATCCTCGGCTGTACCGGTGCTGTGGCTGCCTGCTGAAGTTGTCATGTGACCGACCACAATGGCTGGAGGTCACAAGAGGCGCCCGTGATGATGTTCTCTAAGACAGGAGAAAAAAAGAGAGAGAGCCCTTTGAGAAAGCTGGGGGTTGTAGGCAACCAATTTGGGTCGGCCAGTCTCTACTTGAAATATGAAATCAGTGCAAGTCTTTGTAGGAACTCTGGGTCCAAACTCTGAGGCCTCCTCCGGATGAGTCCCTGGGATGCGCTCACAGCTTAATTGTGTGTCTGTGAATTATTATTAGCAAAGAGGACTCAGCAAAGCATCCCTGCTGGGGGACTCAGGCTCCCTGCTGTGTGTGTCACATGGCCTGTCTCCCGGAGATGGCCTCTGAATCAGGCGCGGACTTGAGAAATGGCTATGGCAGGTGGCCTCCGAGGCCTTCTGCCGCTTTTCTGTCCTGTGCCATGCCTGAAGCGCAGAGGTGTCCCGTGGAGAGCTGAAGTTCCGAGCAGTCGTGCTCCAGGAGGGCGATTTCAAGGCTCACCCATCTTCTTTGGTCAAAGTCAATTTCTCAGAGTGGAACCGGAGAGGACATGAGTGCCATCCACTAAGTTTCTGTGTCCTCAGGGTTCCACTGGGGGGGGGGCAGGGGTGGAGGACACTCCGAGTGCTCTCCACAGCTCTGTGTCACCATGTTCCACACCGTGGGTGACAAGTGCAGGAGCCCACACGCACTCGATCCAGTCCTTAAGAAGCCTTTCACCGGACGGTGGTGGTGCACACCTTTAATCCCAGCACTCGGGAGCAAGAGGCAGGCGGATCTCTGTGAGTTCGAAGCCAGGCTGGACCGACAGCCTCCAAAACGATACAGAGAAACTCTGTCTCATAAAACCAAAAAAAAAAAAAAAAAAAAAAAGCTCCAAATGGAAGGCAGCAATTTGGCCCTGCTCCACTTTGGGGTGTCCAGAAGCCAGCCAGTCTTAGCTCTAGGAATGACAAAAAGAAAGAAAATGCAGGGGGCTGGGTCTGGGGAGATGCTTGGTTGCTTGGTTGTTCAAGCATGAGGCCCTGAGGATGAACACTGAGCACAGTTCACAGGGCTGGGAACGGCTGCCTGACCCAGAACCCCAGTGCTGAGAGATGGAAGAGGCATGAGGCTGCCTGCACCCGGAACCCCAGTGCTTCTTGACTTAAAAGGGGGGCATTGCTTCTCTACAGAGAGGCCTGGGGAGCAGGGAGTCAAGCAGGAGAGAGAAAGGATGAGAGAGACTAGAGTCAGGGAAGCCACAGCTCCTTTGTGACCCCATCTTAGAAGCGGCACCTGTCACCTTGTGCTGTGTCCCACTGGCATCTCTAGGCCCTGCTTGGGGTCTAGGGGAAGAGGAGCTGCAGCAAGGCCTGAGCGTCAGGAGCCGAAGGGTCCTGGGCACGGGCCACACCTCAGGGAAAAGAACGAAGAATACACGGGAAACAGCACGTGGCTGGGCTGGCCTTACAAAATCTCCTTAGTGGCTGGGTAGGCACGCTGGGCATTGCCTGAGTCCACAGATGGCTGCACCTTGGAGGAGTTCCCTAGGAGAGAGTGGGAGGCCAGCACTGCCTCAGTTTCCCCAGGCTGAACCAATAGAGCTTCGTAAAGCGTGAGGCTGAAAAGCAACTGCAGAAACCTCCGTTGCAGAGGTTGGGGGCCTGAGACCAAGGTGCCATCAGGGCCGGGCTCCCCCTGAAACATGCGCCTTCCAGCCTCCAACTGTGCCAGCCTCTGGCATGTCCTCTTCCCTCTGTGTCTTCTGCCACCTCTTACAAAGCCACCAGTCACACTGTGGTGTTTGTGAGTGTATTCCTGCGTGCATGTAAGAAGCATGTGCTTTCTTCTAGCCCACGGCAGCCTTTGAGCTCCTTGCACGACTGATGACCTTCAGCTCCCGAACCCTCTGGCCTCTGGCCTCCACCACCCCAGTCCTAAGCCACATGCCCGGTTTATTGGGTGTTGGCAATGGAACCCAAGGCTTCCTGCATGTTAGGCAAGCAGTCTACCCTCTGGGCTACATCCTCAGCCAGAACCAGTCATAGAACACTGGGACCACACCCTATGCCACTAGTTATACCTATAGTGAGCTCTTTGCCTAATATGGTCACATTCAGAGGCACAGAGTATTAAGCTTTCCTACATATTTGGGGGGCAGGGGTGTAATTAGCCCCTAACAGGTACTGTCTAAGCAGGGCCCTTCCCGTCTTCACCTCTTGCTGGTGTAAGCCTCCTCTCTACCCACGGCCATCAACTTTCCCGTATCCATATCATTCAGGCTTGGCCAGGTCTGGTCTTTCTGTGAGCCGGCTTGTCAATTTCTCCTCACCAGGCAGGGCCAACAGAAAGGTCTTTTTGGTATGTGGGGCATTGTGATAGCAGCCTGACCGCCCTACCAGCCACAGCGTTTGCTAGAAAACCAGAGGTGTGGGCAGGAGGAGCAGGTAGGAGTCAGTTTCAAGACTCCGCCGTGTCCTAGCACCGAGTACACAGTGTATACACACTGATTCCCTAGAAAAATACCTTCTGAATGACCGAATCAATGTGTCTGCTCTCTTTAACTCTCTTACCCAGCCCCCACCCCTTATATACCCAAACGCCTCCCTAGAGGTGGAGTCACTCTCTGGCCCAAGTGTGAAGGCTCTGACCTTTCCCCTGATGCCCAAAGTGGCAGAGGGGGGATTCTAGGGAGGGCAGGATATGTAGGAAACTGGTGTAGCTGAATGGTCCTAGGGGCTAAACCAGGACCAGAAGTGAAAGGAAGAAGGAGGGAGCCAGTGGGTGTGGTACCTACTTGGGTGGTCCAGCCAAGAAGGATTCTAAGGACTGCCTCACCAAGGGTGTGGTGCTGGGCAAAGGCTTAATCACTAGGGAGTACCTCACTTTAGGCATTCCTAAACAGGAAAAGGACTCAAACGCAAGTGGTTTATTTTGGAGATGATCGCAGGCAACAGCACCAGGCAAGGAGGGCTGGGACAGAGAGCAAGTGAAAAGTCAAAACTGCTTCAGACAGCAGCTGCTCCATTACCCCCCCCCCCCCCGAACTCTAGACGCCAGTAAAACCTGTGCTGCCTATGATGAGAGGCAGCTGGTACCTGAACTTTGTGCCTCGTGGATGTCACTTCCTCAGACTTCCTGCTGCTGCTGCTGCTGCTGCTGCTGCTGCGGAGCCTTGTATGCTCTGAACACCAGGGGAATTCTCTGGCAAGAAATGCAAGGCTGGGGTAGGGATGTGGCCCAGTTGCTGGAATGTCCATCTAGCATGCACAAAATCCGGGTTCGATCCCAAGTGCAGCACAAACCAGGCATGGTGGCTCACGCCTAGAATCACAGCACTCAGAGGTGGAGGCAGGAGATTCCAACCCATCCTCAGCTACACAGGAGTTTGAGACCAGCCTGGGCTACACGAGACCCTGTAAGCCACCCACGCAATGAGGTTGGGACAGTACCTGGGTTGGCAAAGTGTTTCCATCACAAGCCTGAGGATCTGAGTTTGATTGGCAGCACCCGCATTAAAAACGGTGCAGGGCTGGAGAGGGCTCAGTAGTTATGAACACTTGCAGAGGAACTGGGTTCAGTTCCCAGCAGCCACTTGGTGGCTCATAACCGAACATAACTTCAGTATCAGAGGACCCGATGCTTTCCTTTGACCCTGTGGGCACCAGACATGCATGTGTTGTACATACGTACTCAGGCTAAACACTTACACAAATAATTAAATCTTAAAAAAAAGAAAACTGGGCAGTGGTGGTGCACGCCTTTAGTCCCAGCACTTGGGAGGCAGAGGCAGGCAGATCTCTGTGAGTTCAAGGCCAGCCTGATCTTCAGAGCAAGTTCCAGGACAGGCTTCAAAGCTACAGAGAAACCCTGTCACGAAAAACTAAACCAAACAAACAAAAAACAAAACAAAAATTGGTACCGCACTGGGGAGGTAATGGAGCCAGGAAGATTCCCAGGAAGTACTGGTCAGCCAGCAAGCTTCCAGTTCACAGTAGAACTGAGTGATAGAAGACACCTGACATTGACCTTTGACCTACACACACACCACACCACACACACACACACACACAAACACACCACACACACATATGCACACACATGTACACACTAGACACACATGTACACACACACCCACACCACACCACACATGCACACACACACACCACACATGCACATTGCACATACACACTA